TGTTACCATGGCCACCAAGATCTCCCGACTTATTCCCAATTGAGCACGTGTGGGATATGATGGGTAGGAGATTGCTCAATTTGCAACGTCCTCCTCAGACTCTAGAAGCACTTCGAGAGGTGTTGGTGGTTGCCTGGAATGAGATACCACAGGAGGACATTGACCACCTGATCAGAAGCATGCCTAGGCGCGTTGGAGAATGCGTAGCACATCAGGGTGCATCCACACATTATTAAAGGTCAAAGGGCTTTAAAGCAGTGCAATCATTTTGAAATTTTTATTTACTTATTATGCTTCATTAAGTACTTATACAAAATTTTATTAAAATAAAACTATTTAAACTGGTTGTTCGGATTTATATGTCACTTAGTATAATTGAGAAGTATTAGTGAGCGGAACTGAGATCTGTCAGGGCTTATGAATGCTTATAATATGAACTGAAGAAGAAGCAGGAAGTTTGGAGATAAGACTAATTCTCATACAGCTGCTTACAGTTATAAAATGAAGGTAAAATGTGAAGATATCAACAATCGTGTTATGAAAGATGTGCCATTTATGTTTTATAGCATTGATTGCACTCCTTGGGGTTACCAAAGGAAAAGTTAAATAGCTACAAAAAACCTTAAAATCAACAGGGAAGATTAAAGAGAAAAGCTTTTAATCATCACACAAAGAAGATTGGTATTGATTGAGTTTTTATGAAATTATGATATTGGTTCGAGATCACAGATACTTCAAATAAGGTAATTACGTTGTTTTAAAAATACGTACCACTTAATTCAAAGATATATGTCTTAGAAACATATCGAAGTTACGGTTCCTTAATTGGAGACAGACGATCTTGAACCAAGATCACTTTTTTGTGTGACAATAACTCATTTAAACGAAGATTGAGTCATTAGAGTTTAAAGAGTATGAAACTAAAATATGATTCAAAAACTAAAGATTCTGATAACTGAATTTGACATTCCTTGTATTTCTAATTTTTTCATTTGGTTTATGTTCAACTTAACTATGTTTAATAACTAAAAGATCCAATGTCAATGAAAAAATTATATTAGATATAAAACATTTAATTAGTTCTAAATAAAACTTGCTGCATACTTTGATCTCCTTAAAAATAATATACTTTTTAACTTTCAATTGCGTTTTTCTTAAAATCAGTCCATTAGGACATTCCCTGTTATTTGCCTATACCCTTCAAATATACAAAGAAACCAATCGCCATTAATCAGAGAAAAGATCGACCATGTTGTACGCAAAATGTTCCGTCACTAGTAATAAGACTGTAATTAAAATGCTATGTTAGCTGGTGTTTTAACGTAATAAATCTCATTGAATGGTATTTGTCTAAAATTTTTACATTTTTTCGTGAGAGAAATATTTTCCCCAAGAAACACGATCATTTCACTCCATACATTTTGAAAAGGGCATGCCACTATTTTTTTTCAACTATATCCTTGTTCGAACTAGCCAATGCTATCACCAGACAGAATGAATACCCAAATTTAAAACGAAAACTGCATGTTTACACTGTTTACCTTCTGTCAAGTGTTGATTGGATTTTGATTAAACTAGGTTGTCAAATTCACCATTGTTGATTAATCTGAACTTTTAATATGCCCAAACCAGCGTTTCTAAACTTTTTCAGCCACACACACCCCTAGGAAATCAAGCACAATTTTGTATAAAGGCAGATTTAGGATTTTGGAGGCTACTTTTAATGGCTGTCCATCGAATAATGTGGTCCCTAATAATCTCTAACAGAGCCGGTGGCTTGAAGCATTGTATATGTGGTGTCATATCCTTGAAACGTTAGATTTGCTGACAAGTTTATCCTTAAATTCAAATTGAAACAGTTGCGAAAGATTTATCTTTGATCTAAGACGTTTTGATCATGTCTCAAATAAGTTTACTTCTTTGTGCTGATTGAAAATACCCTATTTAGTGGAGCTCAATTATGTTGTTTTCATATATTCAATATCTTAGAGAAAAGTTGATTCCTAGATGTAGTACGCATGATAGAACCATCAGGCATAGAAGCACGATCACTATTCCCCATCATAATTCATCTTTATTCCAGCACCTACAATGCTACTAGTATTTATAACAACATTCATGCTAACTCCAACGTGGTGTCTCTAAGCGCATTTAGGAAAGATATCAATGAGAGTCATAATGAAACACACTATGCACCACATGATGCCCACAACTTGCCATATGCATTCTTTTTCGGTTTTATTTTTTTTGAGCGCAACAATTCATAATTTGTACCATGACATTCAAGTCATATAAGTTGAATTTTGTATTTTTTTTTTGTTCTTCTCATGCCATCGTATACGTACTTCGTATACCTTTCCGCACTGGTGGTTAAGTGTAAGAATAGCCCACAGCTAAACTTCGCCACTGGTCCTAGATCTGTATATACCTACTTAATAAAGATAAATTTAGTATTATTATTAATTGTCTTCCATAGTCCTCATTATTCCATTTTGAACGCCAGTGATGGAAACGGGTCCTTACAGACATTCGATAGTTCCACCTGTAAGTACCATGCGTCCCACCACTATGAAAGCTCAGTGTCGTCCTGTCTTGTCAGTTTGGAAGGAGATGACTTATTCTTGGTACGGAGTATTCCCAAGCCTAAGACTGAAGTATCGCAGATACTCTCAGGTAGAATAATTGACCCCGGACATTGGAAATAAATTATCATTATTGATCCCTTGTTCCGAAAAAATTAAGAGTAACTTAAGAAAAACACCTTATATATGTTGGAGACAGATGGCGAATTCGGACACGGGCCGATATAATTGGACATATCGTCATATGTCCATACTGTGTGCATCAAATGCCGAAAGAGAGATACAAATCGGCATCTGGCTAACATAATTTAGACACATTGGCTATATAAATTCTAAGCCTAAGCCGAACGGGAAAAGGTGATTAATTTAAATTAAAAACAAATATGGATTATAGAGTTAACGTAACTTTTATTTTATTATTTATTGAGAGAAGATGTACTTGAATGACATTTACTATTACATTTTATGTTATTTATTACACATTTGCATTTTTTGTCACCACATTGTTTTCGACAGTTGCACCGTACAAAACTCTGTGAAGAACTTGGTATCCCCATTACTCCAAACATTAAATGGCAATTGAAAAAGTGCAACTACGCTTTTTGAAACTCCTCGCTTACAAGACTGACGGTACATATCCTCATAGAAATATGCTTTATGAGCATCTTGTAGATTTGAGATAGAATGTCCGGATCAAGACAAAAATGTAATTTTGTATAAACTCTTACATGATAACTTAGACGCCAGCGTAATTTTATCGTTGATTTCTTTATGCCTTGCTTGAGAACTAGAAATACCAAAACCTTCAATTGTGAGAGAGCTAGACCTAATTTGCGCCGCCAGTACTAACTTTGGGTGAAAATTTTGATTCAATTTCGGCTGTGAGTGATATAAATTTTGACAGTATCTCAAAAATACCGAATTGTGGATATTTGTACTTGGACCTTAATATGTCTAGCATTTGACTTTCATTATATGTTTATTGTAAATTTCTGCTTTATATTTTTTCTGCATCATTTTGTAGATATTCTCATTTAGCTCAGCCCACTGACAAACAAACTGTACGTGAACGCTTTCATACAATAATTTGAGGTTAGGTTGTTTATTTGTGATGTAATCGGCAACGGAGAATTAAAGAAATGCTAGACATGGCTAGATTAAGTTAGTCAGATGACGAATTTCGGCTTCTGGCATGCGTGGTATGGACATATAGCGATATGTCCAATTATATCTGCCACGGGCCGAATTCGCCGTCTGTCTCCAACATATATACATGAGAGATTGAAAGTATAAAGAGCCCTCCTTGCTTAAATTTTTTCGAAGTACCCAACAAAAGGCAGAAGCTTCAGTTTTTCACCTAACTGGTCTAGACGACAATGACCACGTCTCAAGTTATATATATATGTTCACTTTGTGCGACTTTGTACATTACAAAGAAGAACATATGTAATGTGATGTGAACAACTTGTTTATTTTACCCTTCTGATTTACGCTATTGGAAAGTGGCTAAAGCAAATAACTTGGCACTGTTACAATTCATTTCGCAGTGCTCTCAATAAGTTTAATGAGTTCACCAACAAGTATGAGGTACTAAGATTCAGGCAATAAGAGTATGCACAGAATTTAGTTATGAAAGAAATCCTGCTGCTAAAGGAATGTGTTTCTACTCTATTAACATAAAATATGAACGTTTTTGGCTTTAATACTTTTTGTAGGAGCATGTTTCTTCTGTATCATACATCAAACGTCATTGCTCTGCTTTTCCCATTATTTACGTGAAATTTGACATGTTTAGCCTTATGTATAGTATGATGTGCGTGAAATGTATTCATAATTTCACGTCCAGTTGAAAAATTAAGGATGTTCTTTTTAAAATACTCAAGCTGGTATCTACTTCTAGTACAATCGGAAGTGTCACCATTTTGAAAATATCTTGGCCTTTAACTACAGATGTACGATGCCGGTAAATTAAGTGATGAGACTGGCAACGTAGCGTTCGATCTGGCAAGCCTAGATGCGCTGTACTTTGAGGGGAGCTAGGGGAACATGTGAGCCTTCAGTACAAGTTTGAACTCGATCGAGTCATTTGGTTGTCGATGGCGATTTTTTTTGTGGAACACTTTTTTCTATCGTTCTCTAAAAATGACATGAATTTCAAGAGTTGAATTTGCAATTTTTAAAAAATATTACATGACACCTGTATCCACTTGTGTCTTATTTATTCTAGTTTTGGATATATTGCATTCAGGTATCCCTAAGAAAACCTTACCTCCTAAATTCCTCCATCGCATTCCTCTTGACGTCTTCCCTGTTCTATCTTCCCATAAACGTCCCTATTACAAAACCTGATATCCATGTTGAACTCGTTTAACCAATTTGCGGGTAAGAAACGGCAACAGCAAAAACTGACGTTGATTTTCCTTTGTTTGCAGAGCGTTTCCGTGACCGTTTCCGTGCTGACATTAACATTCATATCAATCGACAGATGGTACGCCATCTGTTTCCCGTTGAAATTCAAATCGACCACCAGCAGAGCAAAAACCGCAATCGCAGTCATCTGGATCATAGCCTTAGCGTGCGGTAAGTAATAAATTTTATCATTAGATTTGCGATTATACTGTCTGTAATAATGTCCTGAGCTTAATAAAAAAGATTTCTAGATTTGCTTTTACAATGATGTTTGCCTACAGTTTGATAATTTTTTTATAGTATTGAGCTCATTACAGTCTGTTCATTACTGTTCCCATTTCTGTTGATTCACTTCAAGCAATAAATAGATTCCAATTATTATCCTCATATGTATTGTTAATAAACACGGCATTATTATTAATTATCAATTATTGTGTTGAGACTTATATCCAGCGTCTCAAAAATTACTCAATATGCCAGGTTCTATGAAACGTTTCTGAACTCTTACATGAAAACATATTAGCTGCTCTCTGAAAATACGTTTATTTTGTGAAATTTCTGATTTGATGATTTCTTCACATGGACTTCTTAAATCACGAAAACAAATAATAAATCTGGTGAACAGTGTTTCTCTACATCAAAACCGTAGCTTTTTTAAATACTATTCTGAGGTTCATGCAACTGACTTATCGATCACTAAAAGCTACACAAAGTATTAGATGAAATAATACGAAATAATACAGAAAAGTGACAATTACATCTAGACGATAAGACAAATTATACTTTTTATATCCGCATGCAGCGTAAAGCGCATATCACGAAAGTTTCTTGCCATATGACATTTCCTGGAACACTGGCATACAATAAAGAATAACAATAAAAGTTGAAGTCGTGTGTAGCTGTTTCGTTTCCACACATACCATAGCTATTTTGTTCCGGTTACCACTGTCGTTACCGTCATTTTTATAGAAGGTTATGAGATGACCAAGTTGAAGTTAGTACAAACCATATTCTTCTATGCTCATATTAGTATTTTGTTTTACAAGAGAACTTCATGATATAGATTATAAACTCGTGAGCAACTTCTGATAACTCAAGCGCATATAGTGTCTTTTTCAGAGTACTTCCTGACTTAAAGACGAGATATAATGTATGTTCCCAGCATAAAAAACGAAAATTAGTTTTGTTTTGTCCCTTTTTTGGAAACAAGTGTGTTTGTTATGAGAAACTAGTTTTACTAATATTATATCAATTTCTTCTTACCTCATTACCTAGAGATGTCAAAAATGGTGAATGTGACACGTGTACAATCGTGTGCACATGCACCAACATTGACAGACATACCTAACTCTCAGACATCCAAAAACTTGTTGTAATAAATTCATTATTACTGGGTCTGCTTTTTTATGTCAGCTAAACCGGGTGTTTCAAATTCGACCCTCGCCACTTGTATCTCAGAAACTGTAAGAGATACATGTCGCTTAAATGGGGGCAAAGTTGCGTATTTAGCTAATTAACAAAAGGACACTTAGAAGGTTTCGATATTCAAAGTACTTCCGGAGAAAGACAAAAAACGAATTTCCCAAAATGGATTTAATGTTTCCCTGTCTTCATTTGTAGTCGGATTCAAAATAAATTTTAATAGAACGCTTCTTCTCTTGTCCTCCAGCATCAACTTAAGTTTGTTATGGGTGCTACATTGGATTTGTGCACAGCTGAATAGGGTTATTAAATCCGAATTAGAACATGTATAATATGTCATACATACATCAACTATAGCTATTAAAAAAAACAAAATCTCTCTAGGTAGGCCTCGAGATTATCAGATAGTCCTTTGTTTCGCAGACCATATTTATCCCACAATCATTTATTTTATTATATTTTTTCTGACTTTATTTCAGATGGGATTTCAAACTAAATTGCATGTTGTCATTGTTTCTGATTCTCTACGCGTAGACAATTTTTCAATTATAGATTTCTTCTTTTGACTTCCATCACAACTTTGTTTTTTCATATGGACCCTATTTCTCACATTTAAATGACCTTTTCAGTTCTAAATTCAGGGAACAGATAGCCATGAATTTGTCGTTGGATGTAAATTATAAAGAAACAAAAAGATAAGGTGAAATCTGAGCATAAAATAAAAACTTTATTGATGGTAATAACAGTACCTAATAATCACAAATAAGTAGAAATGACTTATTTCTCTTCTTCTCAGTGTTCCAAGCTCTGTTACTATGGTCAATTTGAGGTCTGGTCTGGTATACGAAACAAATGACTATCAAAGCCTACCTAGGAACTTCTGTTTTTCTGGAATAACCAAGGTTTGGGAATATCAATACATGACACACTATACACTATACTATATGATATATGCGAATATTCAAGGGTGTGAATCTACATGAAAAATTAATGTTAGTTTGCTATATAAACTATGGTCCAAAAATGTTTCTTTACAAAAACTCGAGATGTTGAAGTTTTAGGAAAAAAATGGAAATTAATTAATATTTTCAGAACCGCTTCAGATATTTCACTGATATTTAGTGCATAGTGAAAGTTAATAAATTTGCATATTTTTCAATGCAAAAATACTTTTTAGCTTTAACAGTGGCGTGCGTACGGGTATTGACTTCGATATTTTTTAAGAAAAAAATGGTCCGCCAATGGTTTTTTGCCAAATAAAAATAATTTTTGAATTTCTCGTTCAATTTAGAACAAATGGTCTATCCTGAATTGTTTTCCTTCGATGCTCCATTTTTGAGTAAAGAAATAAAAGCCGTTCTATTGTCCGAGAAAATTAATGTAATAATTGAAGAATGCAATTTAGCAATAAATATCTAGTTGCTCTGGACTATGTCACTGGCGTTTGGCATCTGACAAGTCTCTGTTATTCAAATCTGTTCGCTGTGACATCTTTTTCATATTTAGTTTTTACAATCTTGTTAATAATGGTGAATTATTCAAATGCAAAAATGGCGGAAGTGCATTACGTATATGGCCTTGCCGACGGTAATGGTGAGCAAGCCAGACGGATTTATCACCAGAGATATCCCGTTCGTGCTTTGCCAGATAGTCGAACCTTTTCTAATATTCATCGTCGTCTTGTTGAAAGTGGTTCTGTCCGAAAAGGAACATCTGAAGGTAGACCTTGAGAAACCTGAAATTGAGGAAGCAGTGCTTAAAGGAGTACGAGGAAGATCGGTAGACACTTAAATATTTGCCATCAAATTGTTTGGAGAATCTTAGTGGATTTTTTGTTATATCCTTACCATATTTGAAGAGTACAGGCATTACTTCCCATTGATTTTCCAAGGCGTGTGACCTTTTGTCAGTGGTATCTTCAAAAAATTACACAAAATCCGCAATTTGAATCAATGATTCTGTTCACAGACGAAGCTAATTTTTCTCTAAATGCCATTCAGAATTTCCACAATAATCATTTGTGGGCAGAATAAAATCCCTATGCCGTAACCGAAACCCATTTCCAATACCAGTTTTCGGTTAACATATGGCCATGAATTATTGTCAGCCACTTTATTGACCCATTCTTCTTGCCGGGACGCCTTGACGGACAGACCTACCTCAATTTTCTTCAGCAACAGTTGCCTTTGCTGCTTGATGATGTACCGTTAGTAATAAGAAACAATATGTGGTACATGCATGATGGTTCACCAGCGCAGCGAATAATTTTTATTTGGCAAAAAACTTTTTTTCTTAAAAAATATCGAAGTCAATACCCGTACGCACTTCACTGTTAAAGCTAAAAATTATTTTTGCATTAAAAAATATTTTTATTAACTTTCACTACGCACTAAATATCAGTGAAATATCTGAAGCGGTTCTAAAAATATTGATTAACTTCCTTTTTTCCTAAAACGACAACACCCCGAGTTTTTGTAAGGAAACTTTTTTGGGCCATACTTTATGAAGCAAACTAACATTAATTTTTCATGTAGATTTACACCCTTAAATATTCGCATATCATTAAGGAACACCCTGTAGATTTTTAAAATTATAATAGAAAACTCTATTCAGCTGCGCAAGAATCCAATACGAAGTCCTTAAGAAAAAATAAAATTGATGATGGAAGGCAAGAGATGGAACGTCACATTGAGATTCTAATTATGCCATCTTGTAGAGTAGAAAAAGTTGCATATTAATGTGAAATTTATTTAAAAATTCCACCCAAGACAAAAACCCCTGTCTCTTTTCGGAATTACTTTGAATTTCGAAACTCTCTAAGCGGCATTTTGTTAGTTATCCAAATTCGCAACTTTGCCCCCATTTAAGCGACTTCGAATCTAGTACCGTTTCCGAGATCCTAATGGCGAGGGTCGGATTTGAAACACCGTGTATGTTTAAAATGGACATCGAAGTCTCTAAACACAGAGAACTGAGCAACGGTTCAGTACATACATGTTGTCCACGTCAAACGTCCAAGTTGGTTCATCATCGAGCGTGTAAATGCGCACAGGTTATCGTGTCCCTAGGTGCGCTACACTATATTTTATGAACGTGACCAACGAAACATGGAACTTTAAACTTTCAGACCTGAATACAGAACGAGAACATTTCTTGTTGCAAAATAAGATTGCTCTCGTGAGATTTTATATTTCGTCTGCTGTCAAAGTTATATTCTGGTAAAATCCAAATGTCACGAACGTCATAAAGTTTTAGAGTTACGATTTCTACCGGTCTGTATAGGTTAGATGATAATCCTGCAGAACCCTGAGCATTTTCGTTCGTTGGGTCATGAGCTCGTCCACGTTCTTGTTCAATATTAATAAGGCGAATATATTATTACATAATCTACTTTTCTCGTCAATTGATTTACAGAAATTGGCAAAATAAAACTACGATTGCAGGCGTGTTAGTAATACAAAAACTAACACGATCTGTTGCGATGTGCATGTCATACAACATCCAAAAAAATGTTTCCTAAGCTGGAAACTGTGAACTACACTAAACTACTGCATTTTTGGCGAGATACTTCAAACACCCTGTTGCATTATATCCAGTACCTCCAATATGGTATCTCGCAAGCTCTTAACAAAAACCGACAAAAATTAAGGAACATCTGCTTACTTATGACCTGCTCGATCTCAAGGCTTAAGCAATCCATGAAGTCATTTTAAGATATTAGCGCTAGTGTAAAATTTGGAAGATATAGGAATCTCAATATAATTGAAGAAATGATCCTAATATATTTGAAAGAGTTCAGGAGCCTATCAGGAGGAAATTGGACATTGAAGTTCTACTCGGGGGTTGCCATTACGTACAGAGAACATACGATTCTTTTTCTCATCCAGACATTGACGTCGGAAACAAAATGTTCTCTCTTATGCACCTGATTAGCTTAATGTTTGTCTTTTGCAGAAATACCGGAGCCGATCTACCTTACAACGTTTCCAAGAGACGAATCCTTCGTCTATTTTACCCAGTGCGATGTCACGTGGTCAAAGGAAACAGACACGATATTTATGGTATCCAAGATGGCATTTTGCTATCTTATACCGCTACTTTTCATGACCATGACCTATTTGCAGATCATCAGGGTATTGTGGAGATCAGGCAATGCTCCACACCAAGCTATGGGTGAGTTATAGGATATAAATCTGTAAATCCACATTTTAAAATCACCAAGCCACTTCTTCAAGTATATTAAAATCTAGTTTTAAAAGTCAACGTCTAAAATCCGTCAAAGTTTCTTGGCACTACACGATATCACACACCATGTGGATATTATTCATTACTGATGTTTTGGCTACCCCGGTGGCCTTTTCAAAGTATAGATCAAAATTTCTGGCATTTCGGGTCGATAAGCGATGCACAATCTATATTTCCCAAAAATTGTAAATGGAACACCCTGTATATTTTCACATTCTTTAATATCGCTTTTCACATGTTTTCTTCTGTTACAAGATTATTAAGGGCTTGTATGACTGGTTTTTGAGTTACCAAAAACTCACAGACACCTTCTTGATTTTCCGACTGCATTGCATATCGTAGGGTAGATTTAATTTATAATGGAAATACACCAATTCTAATGTTCTGCCGTTACTAGCTTTTACAATTTTTCATTGTGAAACGTAAATTAATCTACCTTGATATCTGATTTACTCAAAAGTAGACTGCAACTCAAAAACTAGTCGCACAAACCTCATATAAAGAAGCTTGTCAAAAGAGGATTCAAGCAATGTTAAAATATACAGGATGGTACATTTGAAAATTTCGAGTAATTGTTCATTTCGCGTTCTTCACGCGTATAGTCTATCAAAAAAATAAAAAAGTAGGTATATAGGAAAAATAATATGGAAACATAACAGTTGAGGAGATGCGAGCTGTCAAAGTTAAGGGTTTTTTTTTCAATGAATTGTACCATATGCGGAGATTAGGAACAAAAAGTGACATTTCGAAATCGACTCAAAACGTTAAATTCTATCTTTACGTGCCAAGATTTGGTTCAAAAAGTGACTTATAGAAAAATTGATCTGTACTTCTGCTTCTGGAACAAAAGGTTACATCACTGTACTGATTAAGACTTCAACATCAAAAAGTGTCATGTTTCTAGAAAATACGTTTGAAAAGTATTTAGTTGGTTCAAGTCCGGTACATTTTGAAAGCGTTACATATAGAGAGTAGTCTAGCCCGTTCCAGATGCTTAGTCATAAAAAACTATTGAATTAAGTGGTAATATTTACGAGCTATTGGATCAAAAGGTGTCATTTGATAAGTATTTCATTTAAATTTGACTAAATTTCAAAACCTACAAGATTACTTCCAAATATAATTAATTCTATGTAGTACTTGACACACATATAGTAAACAAAAAATTAAATAATTGAAGATTTTAATTGAAATATTAATTTTCTCAATTTACTAGAATGATTAAAAAGTGCAAATCACACTTTTTGTTCCCAACCTTCTCATATCATAACAATGTCCAAATAAAACCCTATAGTACGTTATATCAAATTGCTTGATAATTAATTATGTAATTAAATTTTCAGATACCATGCGTAATAACCCTAAAAACTCACCCTGAACAAAATATATTGCCACTATCATTTTGATCTGTACTTTGAAAACATCAGGAGACAGTAGTTATATTAGTAAGAGTAAATATTTGGTTTCATTTAGCGGCCAGAAAACGTGAAGTTTTATCACCACTTCATACGCAATTTCTGTGGCATATATACTGAACTGTGCTACAAAAACACGGCAAAAAGTAAAACTAATTTGCACAAGCATCATTCGCATAGCTTTCTATGAACATTATTAAAAAAAAATTCAATCATCCTCATACAAATAGAATACAAAGGAAATATCTGGAGTCCTAAAGTCGATACAAAATGTGTCAAATGAATGTTGTACACAGAATTCGCAGAAATTCAATAGCCTGAACATTAATCAGGAATCTATTCGATATCGGGTTCAGTCACAGAGGGAAAATGAGGATATAGAGAGGGCGATTCAAAATACAATGAACATGAAATACGCCCGAAAATAGTGCATAAACAGGTAAAATCTGACGTTCGTCACCTAAGATGATTTGCCAAGCTTCTAACGGGAAGAAGTTTATATTCAAATTAAAACGTTATTGTTTGATTTTCAGTAGGATCAATTAAGTTTTTTAAGTTCAGTATTTTTATTATTTCTTTATTATTGTTTATAGATAGCTATAGTCAGATATCAGAAGTGCTTAGGTCTCTCTTCGTCTTAAAATAAAATTTACTGCTCCTGCCGTTGTACATTCTGTAAGGTAGTAATAAAGTTAAAAGCATAATAGCTACATGCATGTTTCTTTGTGAATGCCTGCGTTGCTCGACCCTTTTTGAAAGACTTCATTTATCGTATATCCTTTTGTCTACTTTATCGATTCTTAGGTTTAGTTTCAGTTTAACTATGTACTTATTTGGGCTCTGCCCTCCAGTGGTTAAGCAGAATAGCTATAAGCTAGACTTCGCAACTGGTATTGCATTTTTAAAACGTTATTTGCTTATAAAACTCAATAAATACGGTTTATTATTATTATTTTCATCCTCATCCCATACTATGAAGACGACAAAGAGACCCGGCACGGTTTGTAATAGCTGTCAAATGATGACGTCACGTACTGACCCTTCGTGTCGTTGCTGTTTTTGACAGTCAAGTCCATTAATAACCTTGCTCAGGTGGTGGTTTGCATGCGTCTCATGTATGCCGAAAGTCAATCCATGAATATGATATAACCCTTATGTACTCGTCTTTTGTGCCTTTTGTGTTGGTGTCGTTTGTGACTTTTTCCGTAAAAATGCATCCGTGAATATGAAGAAAAACGATGTCAGTTGGCATGGGACGTAAAACTACTGTTCAAGTTTTTTAACGTCAGCCCCCTTAATCAATAACGTAACAGGTGTTTCAAGAATGCGTGTGGCGTAGAAAATATATTCTACACCACTGGTGTCCAAAATTTTTACATGTAAATACAGGGTGCGCCATCTTTTATGTCGGTATGTATATAACTTTGAAAACAAAAAATACATTTCTATATATCGGGTATTTTTATTAAATATGGTCCTTTACAATTTATTGGGACTAGTTTTTCAACACAACATCAACAACAAGTGACCACCTTTATTGGCCAAAACAAAATGTGCCCGTTTTGCTGCGTTTGCCATTACTTTTTCGACCATCTCTGGTGGTATAGCGGCGATTGCGGTACGAATGTTTGCCTTGAGTTCCTCAGCGATCTGGGGCTTGCTGGCGTACACTTGACTTTTCAAATAACCCCACAAGAAGAAGTCCGGTGGGGTCAAATCTGGAGACCTGGGTGGCCAATCAATGTCACCTCTTTGTGACATCAGACGTCCAGGAAATTTTCGTTGCACAAACTGGATTGTTTCATTTGCAGTGTGGCATGGCGCACCGTCTTGTTGAAATCAGTAACCATCAAGACCTTTTTCACGCTTTTGTGGGCAGACATAATGAGCCAACATCCACCGATATTGATTTCCATCGAATGTTTCGTTTTCGTTGAAGAAAAATGGCCCAATGATGGTTTTAGCGCAAACGCCGGCCCACTCACTTTCCGGTCGTGCAACGGCATTTCGTGAATCTCATGTAGATTTTCCGTCTCCCAAATGCGGCAGTTTTGCTTATTAACGCCGCCAGAGAGCGTGAAATGGGCCTCGTCGGTCATCACAATTTACTTCCAAAAATCAGGTTCAGCATCAACCATGCGAGCGACTGTTTGGGCGTATTCCAAGCGACGTGGACGGTCAGTTGGCAATATTTGTTGGTGTTAACTGCACCTTATAAGGAAACAAATGCAAATCATCCTTCAAAATGCGCCGCAACGAGGTTCCACTGATGCCAAAATGCGCGGTGACGATACGACACTTTTGGGTTCTGGGCAACGCTGTCTCTGACCGCTTCGACCAATTCATTGGAACGTCTTGAATCAAATCCAAGCGAATAACCAAAATTTTTGTATTGTGTACCGCGGTTATAATATGGTTTAAGATGACAAACGGGTTGATGACGTCAGTCACTCGAATCGATTGAACGCGTTGGTTTTAACCGCGGTTTGGTTGCAAGTTGTTTATTTTAGAAAAGCGCGTATATAATTTTCGATTATTTTTATTATCACTTAATAATCGGTCATGTTTCGTCTAGAACAGTGTATGGAAGGTTTATAAAATAAACCTTTCATAATATTAATTGGAGAAAGTTTTTGTCAGAAAAATTTAATGATGGAACCATGGCTTTGTAGCTATGGTAACCTTCAATTCTTTAAACTTGTCCGCATGTTAAAGAAAACATTTATTGATTTATCAGAAACGATACGAAAAAGAGATGAAAAAAGATATTAGCAAAACCGTATACAGGTGGACATCCAGTGAGTTTATATGCCCATATTTTAATATTCTTATGGTATATGATTACACATGATACCTTGTTAAGCATAGGAACTAGATTTAAAGTGTCCCCAACAACAGTAATGAGTATATTTAGTAAGGTGCTCTACTTTATGCTACAACTGAAGTCAGCCTGTATCAAGTTTCTCAAAAATGAAGCTGAAGTACAACAAAAATATACAGCGCCCGCCAAAATTCTAACTTGTCACATTTCAAATCATAACCAGAAATATAAAACTACTCCGGAGTTGGGTAAATACCACAATTTTACGGTGATAGCTATGACATATAACAGCTGATTCATGACGTCACGGATCTTATAACCAAAGTGATAATCACACTCGCTTGAACGGATCGGTAAATACCAATCCAAAATGGTAAATACCATTTTCATTTGGTTATTCGCTTGAATTTGATTTTGGTCGTTGATGAACGGTATGTTGCGTTACCACCGAGAGTACAAGGCCAAACAACTGGGCTGTGAAAAGCTTGTGACGTCACGCAGAGTAGGCCTATGCATGTTCTTATGGAGTTTCGCGATGCTGACTGGCAAGAGAGCAGCGCCACCATTGCTCTGCGGTCTAGTTATATCTAGATTTGATATAGCAGTATCGAAATCTCTACTAATTAGTTGTACCTCTCTGTGGGCGAATTTGCAAGATGTACTCGGAGCCTGCGCAGCTTCAGTGATGATGTGATTAGTCTTTCTGATCTGCCTCAGTATGTCAAGAATACATTTTCGATATTACGTTCAATCTGTCACTTGTGAAGTCTAATAATTGGAATATGTGGCAACCTTGGTAACACCGCTAACATCGAACAGCCAACTAACCTCAAATTCTGAGCCTCTCTTATGTATCTTTCTGTGCTATGTAAACTGTAAATTATTGATGTTTTAAACTTATATTTGTGTCTCGCGATTGTTTAGCTAAGTTTTCAAAATGCCTTACAAGTGCTGCGTTCCTAATTGTGTCATTACTGTACCCCTTAAGTATCCAAGATTAAAGGCAGATGGAATTCCAAGTATCTTTACAAATTGTCCAAAATATCTTTCAAAGGACATATCAAGCAGAAGAAGCCGAGATGAGAAATTGAGGGACAAGGAACAAGAACAACTACTTAAAGCACTGCAAAGTAGCAGTGATGTTTATTCCTCCTATCCAAAACCAACAAGTTTTCAAAATTATTCAGACTTTCTCACAGTTTTTATTTCATGGCAATGTCCATATGGGTGGCATAAAATTGTTCAGGTTAAAGTTACTTGGTTTAAGTTAGAATATAAATCAGCACCCATCATAACTCACTTTGTAATTGTTGATAAAGATCTCATTGTGAAAACGTATATGTACTCCCAAGAACTGTTCTCAACTCAGGTAATATTAAAACTCCATTTGTATTATCTAATATACACAACTTGGATGATGTTCTGGATGTTCTTTCTGAGAATGTAGATGCTTCGAGAGAATATTCCGGTAAAGACCAGTTCAGAGCCACTATCAACCATGCTTACAATATTTTAAATAGCACAGAACTATTCACCGATGAAGAGACCCACACTGTCATTCAATTTATTTGTGAGCAACTAAAGCTTGTTATTAGTCAGAAGAACAGACACAGTTACTCATCAGAAAGAATAGTGTTTTGCTCTATGTTGTATACAACCAGTCCACATTCATATAGATTTATTAAGAGCCATGGAGCACTTATTTTACCACACAAAAATACTCTGAAGTCAATTTGTAATACATTGATGGTCGATCCAGTTCCCGATGAGAGATATAACTTTTTAGGCTATGCAAAGAACACACATTTTTTATATAATTTTCAAGTACCATTTTGTTACGCCTATAATAATAGTAAATTGTCGACATATTCCTGTGAAATTTTGTTGATCGGTTGTGACTAACATGGGGTTATTCATCGAAGAATTTATCATTTTTAGCAAGCTTTTATAACAGTACGTAATGTTGGATGAAATATCGGTGAAAATCAGGGTGAAAATAGTTAATAACTACTTTAATATTTTCCACCAAGTTTCCTTCATATACTAAAAACACTTTTTTGAATTATTCGTGATTTACATCAGGTAGAGTATATTAAATATGCTGCAATAATAATATATTATTCACTAGCGCTGATGTACGTCACGCCGTGCTGTCGGCCAGCCGACCGGCCTACTCGTGGTGACGTCAGGCCTTGTACTCTCGTTGGTAACGTATGTTGACGATCTCCCACAGTCCCGTACTCAAGAAAATTCTAAACCAAACGACGGACAGTGTTGTCAGACGGTGCTGTTTGCCACGATATTTTCGACAATATGCACGTTGCGTTAACACAACTGGACGACGATTTTCAATGTACATTGTGATTATTTCGGCGCGTTGTTTCGGTGTAAAGCGATTCATGACTTAAACTGTAGTAAATTGACGTTTCAGAAACACGTATAACCAGATCACTCGGTTGGTAAATATCAAAGTCATTCGAAGTTTCAATACCGACATACGATGGCGCACCAGGTACTTTAGTACAACATGTACAAAACTCGATATCTTTATGCACTCTGAGATACAGTTTTTTTCTAGATTTCGAAAGTAAATTGCCCTCTCTCGCTAGTAATATAACTTTTGTTCGTCTGACCACAGACGGCTAACCATAGAGAACTAGTTCGTGCTATTTGGCAACTCCTCAGCGTCAGGTAAGACAACGAACGAAAACTGAGCAGCTATCATCTATCCAAAGTATACGGTCTATCGAAATAACACAGCACAAAATGCCACCTGTTAGCTTAATCGACCAGTACCAAAGTGAAAAGCAGGCTGTCTATTGGAACTCTATCCCAGTTCGCATCCACCGATTCTGCTTCTATAGTAGATACGGTCTACTCTCCATTGAAAAAAATAGTAATATAGCCCTCTCCGGTTTCTGAAATCACCGTAAGTATGTAATGTGAGATCTTGGTGGGGCAGATTAGATATCCATATGATACTTCATCCCCATACATACAATAATTTCATATAATAAGTATACCCAACAGATTAGTACAGATAATGGTGACAGGGGTAAGGCATAAATATCTGATGCATAACCCTTTACAATAGCGTAATGAAGTAATATTAGCCTTCCGGTGATGATTGATGTTCGAACATATTGCAAGATATTTTTCGAAGGAGAGAGCTATTAGCCGTTAATGTAATGGCCGTTATATATGGGGCGATCACAACCCGATATAAGCGTTGGAAAGTCGAGAACTGAACCTCTTCCGCATTCGAATATTTTTATGACTATTTCACGTTTTTATCTGACAATTTCTGAATGCACGCCCCGTTATCGGTTCTACGATATTGAAAGAAAATTGGATCGGTCGCACTGAGTACACTAGAAATAAATCTGAAGATATTTTTAATATTCTCAGTTTCATTTACCACGTCGGTAGATAGGGGAGCTCGAGAAAATTGAACCCCTTCCCACCCCGAGATGCATAAATTGTAATTATACATTAAAACTTTGCCACTCAAAGACTCAAGATATTTTTCATTCGCCAGATCCATTCATACAGAAAGATAAAGGAAAATTAATAATAAATAACAAACAACACTTCTCCTATTCTCGGCGCCACCTGCACGTGATGGGGGTGGCTGAGGATCCCTAGTGTGAACGCTGCGGGGTAGAGGAAGAGACCTCGGCGCACGTCTTGTGTCGCTGTGAAGCTCTGAGCTACTATAGGCAGACTATACTGGGGTCCATTACTTTGCACCCTCAGGATGTCAAGAAGCTTGGACTCACGGCGATTCTCAACTTCGCTAAAAGGGCGAGGCTTGTGATCTAAGGAATGTAGAGGTGCATAAGGACCCGCTTAAGCGGCCTATGCACTGGCTCCTTATGGTGGCCTCTAATTTCATGATTCATTCATTCATTCTTCTATTCTCGTATTCTCATGATCTACAATATGGGAGTATTCAAAGCAATAACTCACGAAATAGTCTGAATAAAACGCAACAAATATGAGACTTTTTCCAGGACAAGTAGTGAGACAAAACTCAATACGTTCTCATAGTTTTAGTTATTATAACATGTCGCATTCAATCAATTCAGTTCAATAGACTTCATTGCAACAAATATCAGGTAACCAAATAAGTTCGTGCGGGTGCTGTATATCGCATATTGCCATGGATGTTGTTGATCGATAGCGATTGTTTGTTACCTGTTGTCACTTTAGTATGAATCCTTCTTTTCTCACACACATAAAAAGTTCCTGAAAATTGTTACATACCTAGCTTTAATAATTGAAAATGGCGACGAATAAAACAGTAATTCGAAGTTGTTTACTGTATGAGTACAAACTTGGTACAAAACCTGCAGTGGCGGCGCGAAAAATATATGTACCGACCGCATCCGGAGATGATGCCGTTACTGATCGAATAGGACAGAAGTGGTTAAAAAAATGTTCTTCGAGAGATCTCAGTTTCAGCGATGAACCACATTCGGGGAGACCAAAAATCATGAACAACGAGGATCTTCCACAGGTTGTCGACGCAAATTCCAGGACAACGTGCCAAGAACTTGCAGAAATGTTCAGCGTGAGTCCTGAAACTATTCATTTGCATCTTCGTCAGCTAGGAAAGACGTGGAAGTTGAGCAAATGGGTCACACATGAACTGAAAAATGATAACAAATTATTCGTCTTACCATTTGTTCAGCAAACATTTCACGCAACGCTAATGAACAATTTCTTAATCAGTTTTTAACCTGCGACGAAAAATGGATATGGTATTCGAATTCTAAGCGTTCGTATCATTGATTGTCGCCTACTGATTCGGTACCAAGGCTTCGTCCAAACAAGGTTTTATTGTGTGTTTGCTGGACAGCAACTGGACTTGTCCATAATGAGTTTTTGGAAAGGGGTCACACAATACTAACTTGTATTGTGAGCAGCTTCAACGAGGACAAGCAGCACTCATCCAGAAACAGCCTTCTTTGGTCAATCGGAAGAAAATGATATTTTTGCAGGATAACGCCAAGCCTCATACCGCAAATTTCTAAACTCGGCTGGGAAACGTTACCGCACCCGCTATATTCTCCTGACATTTCGCCTAGTGATTATCACCTTTTTTTGTCTCTTGACAACTGTATGAGGCACCGACAACTCGAGATGGTGTAATAAATGCAGTTCGCTAATTTTTTTATTCCAAATCCAGGGAGTTCTACAATACCGGCATACAAAAATTGGTTCCACATTAGCAAAAGGTCATTGAATGTGATGGTAATCACTTCGACGAATAAATAGTGTCCTGATGTATAATTTAAGTACAGTTAGAAATGACGAAGTCTTGCTAATCGCCATCCTAAAAAAATAGTTAAAATAGGTAAAAAAACGAAACATCTAAACGCAGAGGGCCTAGACAGCCTAGGTATCACTCCCACAGATCAGAAAACAGACAGAAAACATACATATAATTAAAACACGAGGACAAAAATAATTTAGAGTTTAATAAACAATTCTCATAAGTATTTTTCAAAAAATTTGCTGATATAGTTTTGGTCAATTCGTTCATGGCATATGAAATTTTCACTATATTTATTGGTCGATCCGATGCATATTTCGTGAGCATATTTCTTGTATATCTAGAACGTCTTCTCTTTGACGGAACAAATACCAAGGGTCATTCAAATTATGAACTTCTACTCACTCGTTACGACTGGAGCTAACGGCATAGCTACTAAAGACTATGTTTCACCAGTATATTTGATGGCTGTTTTCTGTACAGAGGTTTCAGATTTCAGATCTAAAATAGCGACTTGTTATTCTTACTGGATAACTTTTTTGCGAGATGGACTCGTTTTATTTTTGTATTAGAACAGCACGTCCGGTAAAAATTTAGGTTATTCTATTTTCGACAGGCATACCAGAGGGGCAGTTGAAGCATTGATCTTATTTCCCTAGCCTATAATGGATCAATTATCCTTAACTCTATTTTGATGTTCAAAAAAGGGTTGTTTGGAAAGTTTTTGGGTAGCTTTGAATGGTTGATATCTTTATCATGTGCTCTTTCCGAATTTTCACTCTAGCTGGTATATTCTAAGTATGCGTACACCATATTAGAATTCGCAATGACACCTAAAAACAGTTTTTTCTCAATATGTCCATTCCCACTCTTCTACGGTAAAAATAGCGCAATGATAAATTAACCTAGATAAAATTTCCTATAAATTTCAGCCTACGGGCGAGACAAAGCTTCCTAACTCAAATGCCCGCGAAGCTGTTCAATTCTTTATTTCAATTATTTGGCAGTTACGTATAGTTACTCTCATGTTGCAGTCACCGCCGTATACTGAAAAGAGCTGGAACCGGATATTAAGAAAAATCTTTTTGGGGGCAGGGATACGATGTAGTGAAAAAAAGGTGAAAATCAAACTTTCAAAATCCTCAAGTAAAAAAATGCCTCGGCGCTTCCTACGTAACGCGGTCATCAGTTCATAAAATATGATGTTTAGAGCAACTTAGACCCTGTAAGTTACCAACATGTGTAACAGAGATATTAAACGGATCCAGTGAGTCAATCAGGCCCATATACATGATGTCCCTGCTCTAACAGTAATACCGTCCATATGGCAACTTCGCCTGTCCCCGATATCTGACCGCGCGAGGCATCAGATGCAGCAGCTCGGCACATCAGCAGTCATGGCAGGACACTCATCACGGCTGGCACGCCCGCCAGTAAGCCTAGAGAACAGAAGCAGACACACGCCTTTAAACGGCAAATGTACAGAGACATCTATGATGCGTGAATATTTCTAATAGATGCGTAGAATTGCCGAGGTCGGGAGCATTATTAATATGTTTACCAACATCAAAAAATTGAGTAATTCACTCCTCCACCTCCCCCCACACTCTTACAACCCCCAATGTTTAATCCCTACAAAAAAATTCCTGAAAATGACCGTCAAAAACGAACTGTGAGCTATTTCTATTTTTTCGTATTTTGCCCCGTTGCTCAACCGCCACTGGACCGATTTTCAATAACTATAAAGCTTTTTCGTCCTTGGCACAGTAGTAATCTTGTGTGGAAATTTCATCTACATGCGAGCAGTACTTTCGAAGGATTAGCGGACAGACCGACAAACCGACAGGCGGACCGACGGAAATGAGTAACATGGTTTTTCGTGATGTACATAACATATAATATACAAAAAAAAATTATATCTCATTTTCCAAATTTTTCTCTATTACAATACTTCCTCGCCAGAGGAAGTAAAATGATTGGACGACCTTTATTGCGCTCATGATCTCATTAGTGTTTTGATTTTGGATAAATAAAAAGATATTGCCGAAGTTTAGATTATTATCCTGGCATTAACTCATTCCTCCTAAGTGATACCATTTACCAAGAACGAAACAACTGCTCCCCAGATTGTGGCAAGTTTAAGTAAATTTCAAAAACTGTAAAAATGTATGTGGGGAACTTCAATTGGTGATGTTAATAATACGGTATGAACATGGAGCTCAATGTACCTTCAAGAGCATGGAAGTAAAAACAAGTGACAAATTTCACGAATTGACGAAAATACAGAGTGAAAGGACGCCGGATCAATGTGTACAAAAAATACAGTTTCAATCAAATTTAAAATATCTAGTCAAATGGATAACAATGTATGCAATTTGAGTTATTGAGAAATCGATCAATATTTTTCCACAACGTTCGGATCATTAGCAAGACACAATCTTGAACCTAAAAATTCATTCAGAACAGAACAGTCAATGTTTACTTACATGCTACTAAATTGTCTTTTTAGGTGGCTTTTCTATAGTATTTTCGGAACACCGTCTTTCAATTTCAATTTGCTTTGAATAAGCCTTCACTTATTCAAACTGATTACAGCTTCTAGTGTATCCCTAATACCTGGATTTTTTTGTACGAAATGCTATGCTAGATGGCGTTTCTGCCTTGTCATATCATGTAATGTTCTGATACGCCATATAAGGATCTTAATAGGTATCTGGTTACCCATTAGCTCGTTTCCCAGCAAGGAAATGAATATCTGTAATGCATTAATATTTTCCAGACGTGACTGGACACCGTTCAGGACAGCAAAACACATTCGCCATGAACATGAACGTCAGCACTGAAGGTCAACTGAAGTCCAGGAGGAAAGCTGCAAAGATGCTGGTTGCTGTTGTCGTGATGTTCGCGATATGCTTCCTACCGGTGCACCTTCTTTCAGTTCTCAGGTAAGCGCAACAATCATATGCACACAAATACAAAATCATATATATTGATGTGAGGAAGAAGTATTGATTTTCTGGATTCGGAGAAATGTTACACGAACAGTAAGAACACTTGGAGGACTGCCTAACAGTCAAATGGACGGGCTAACGTCGATAACCTGGTTATGGGCAATCCAAAAACAGTCGTAATAAGGGAAAGGCGATGTCCAAAAATTTAATAGATATGTCTTTCAAGGAGACAGAAAGGAATTTTTTTCCGGTTCGCCAGATACCCACGTGTGAGTATAATATGCACCATACGGTAAGGATAGGGTAGGAATAATTCAGATTGTCTGGGGAAGAAGTGGCATGTGTCAAGCTTTTGAGAAGAAATCCAAAAGGAAATAATTCCCTATAGTTTCTTTTTACCCACTCCAGGGTGCCCATACATGCAAGAACGGGATTTTGCTCGTAAACAGCAGCATTTAAAAGAAAAATATTTATAGACTAACTTACATGGTATGTGAGGGCACATCAAATATTCGGACAGATCGTTTCAAAGAAGGATTATTGTTTTAGCATGACTATGGTTTTGATTATTGTTAGCTGTTAAGCTATTGGATAGTTTATCTAGAAAAACACTCGTTAGACAGCCTGTACATCTGCTTCTTGACAGAGTAGTGAATTATGTGTTGAAAAAATTTTATTTGCCTTAGTTCATCCATTATTCAATTATCTAAATGATTACTGCAACGTGGACAGAAACGCGAATTGTACTTTTTCTCAAAAAAATAAACAAATCACCCTGTACATTTTGACATTCGTCATTCATTAAAACCGAACAGTTTCCAAGGAATCAAAGCACGTACATTGTCGTTGTAATTAAATTGACCGTTTAAAGTTTGACCAACAACATTTTGAATGCTACTAAATTATAAAAGGGACTCTGCGCGTCAGTTTGGCAAATGAGCAAACAATCCTACTAATGCATACGTTGTAAGAGTATTGCATAGTGCAACTGACTAGCTTGAAATAGACAAAAGTTAAAAAACAATACATTAAGAGTGATGCCAATAGTCTAAATCAAAAAATAAGTAATTCCCAGTATTAACTGCATTAATGGATATGCTTTACAGGTCTGAAGTATCCCTTTGCTGACCAATCTACATAACAACATAATTATAAATCTTTGAATAAATAATAATTCAATATTTTCTAGTATATGCTTCCTTATATACAAAAATACTACATAATATATTCTATTCCCTACATTTTGTAAATAACATAGCACTTTTCTTTTGTTTCACTTGAGGATGTGATATTTTTTGTTGTAAAAAGTGGATTCTAATAATGTTACAATATATATACAGGGTGACTTTGAAGTTGAGTCATTAATTTTCAGATAATGATTGTAGAGGGAAGATAAACCAAAATATGTGTGTAAAAATAAAAAAAAAATAAAAAAAAAATGTTACCTTGTTTAATAAAGTATCCTCCCGACAAGTATTTCAGTGCGGACCTGTATTTGATCGTGCGGTCTTGGAGCAGCATGCCCTCACCTGTGAGGTCTTAAGTCACCTGATTCACGAGCCCTTTGTACTACATTAACAAAGGCACGAGGGGTTGGTTGCACTCGATTGGGAAACCGATTCGCATAAATCCGTGATGCATCCGGGAGCATTTTGTAAAGACTGCCCCCCCGTAAATAAGAATCATGTCCACAAGTTCAGCATTTTCGTAAACATGTGCCATTTTTGATTTCGTTTGAACCACGCAACACACTACTATTCACTTACGCGTTATCGACTGACGAAAAACATCGTGATAAACGTTTCAAATTCTTTCGCTTTTTTGTTTCCGATGCGATGAACCGGTCAGGCGGATTATATCCGTTGTCGCCAAACACGAGCATATAATAGGCAGGGCGGTACTCAAACTTCCAAAGGGCTATAACTTTGTTACTTTAATTTTACCAGAAAAATGGTAAAGGAAAAAAACATTTCTTTTGATCAGATCTACTCACTGTTAAAATAAATGACTCAACTTCGAAATTAAAAAATGGGCGAATTAATTGAAGTTGAGTATAATACACATGGTTTTTACTGAAAATTCACTACTCGACCTGTCAAAATAATAGATGTCAGTGGCGGCCGGTCCATAGGGGCGAAAAGGCTACAGCCCCCCAAGACAAAATGCGAATTAACAAAAAATTTAAAATATGATTTTGTGATTAAATAATTTCCAGATATATACGAAAATTCAATCAAAACCTGAATTTTAATAGTAGCCAGTTACGCAACACGCAATATATATGTATATATATTATCCGATCCCAATACCCCGAAGTCGCGAGCTAGATTCCCTATCGATTCGAGGCTAGAATAATTTTTGCCGCGATCGCCGACCTGATTGAGTGGCTCGCTACTACGTCATACCTCCCACGGGCTTACGAGTTTTATACGGGATTTTAACACGTGAGGTGGCGAAATAATTTTTAGCCAGTCCCGATTTACGTGTGTACGAAATCGCTTCGTCGCGTCCCAGTGCCGTCGTTCGGGCGTTCAAAAAGTTTAAAATGGCAAATGAAGTACAAAATTTGTTAAAAGGTGAATTTTCTCGGCTTCCGCTTGCTGAAAAAATAATAATAAAATCCCTTGGAAGGCCGATTCCAAATATCAACCTTACTCAGGCTGATAAATCGACGAAAGCTGGTTGTTTTAAGAGACATTTTAAGAAAGATATCTATAACAAAAACAAATGGATATGCGGTTGTGGCACATTAAACGCCCTGTTTTGTTTTCCGTGCTTACTGTTTTATTCAGATGCAGCGGAAAAGACATGGACAAGAACTGGATTTAAAGATTTAAAGCATATAAACCAGAAAATTAGTAAGCATGAAAATTCGGCTCGTCACATGATTTGTTCGACAGAATTAGCTTTATTGGGAACAGCTAGTATCGCTGCTCAGTTAGATTCCGCTTACAGGCAAAATATTATTAAGCACAACGAGCAAGTGGACAAAAATAGATAGCTTTTAAAAAGAATAATAAACTGTATAAAGTTTTGCGGTAAATTGGAATTAGCGTTAAGAGGGCACGACGAAAGTGAAGACTCTGAAAATCGTGGCATTTTTCGAGAGTTGATTAGTTTTACGTCCGAACTGGATACAATATTAAAGGAACATTTAAAAAGTGCGACACTGTTTAAGAGTACTTCTAAAACAGTACAAAATGAAATACTAGATAGTATGTTGGAAGTCTGCCAACAAGAAATTCGACAGCAAATTAATGCAGCAGAGTTTTTAGCTATACAGTGCGACGAAACAACAGATATTTCACATCATTGTCAAATGGTAATGATATTTAGATATCTCCATGAAGGTGAAATACAAGAAAGATTTTGGCGTTTTTTGAGCGTTACGGACAAGACAGCTGAAGGTTTGGCAAAGTGTATCGAAGAAGAACTAGGCCCATTATTAAAAGATTCACCCCACAAATTAATTGCGCAAACTTATGATGGTGCAAACGTAATGAGCGGTAGCAGTGGTGGAGTTCAAACAAAAATCAAACAAAAATATCAGAACGCTCATTTTATACACTGTTACGCTCACCAACTGAACTTAATTATGCAGAGAGCAGCCAGCCAAAATCCAAAAGTAAAAGTGTTTTTTTCAAACCTGTCGGCAATTCCAAGTTTCTTCTCCAACTCCACGCACAGATGCGTTTTATTGGAAAAAATAGTTAAAACCAAAATGCCAAAGGTTGCGCCAACACGGTGGAATTATAACATTCGCACAGTCAGTGCCGTTTTTGAGAACCGTGAAAGTCTTATTGATTGTTTCCGGGAGTTAGAGAATAAATGTGATAAAACAATTACTAGTAAGGAGGCATACGGTTTAAGAAGAGCACTCGAAGATTCTGATTTCATCTTTTTTTTTACTTTTTTTCACAAAACCCTACCGCACGTAGCTATTTTGTTTAACCAGTTTCAAAGTAGGAATAAAGACAGTGTACAACTTTTAAAAGATATTGACGTATTTGAGAAGGCCATTGTATTGATTAGGGACACTACAGAGGATATACAGCAAACTGTTGAAAATGAGCATGGAGACAATGGAAATAAAAGCAGAAAAGTAGGACCCGAAGAAAGAAATTGTATTATTGCAAAAGAAGTTTGCGATATAATAATTGTACAGACAAAAGAGAGACTTTCTTACAGGGGTCATCTAGAAGCTGCATCTTTATTAGATACACAAAACTTCACAAACTATTCGAGATATTTTCCAGCAAAAATACTGAATTCAGTTGTGACTTATTATCCAATGGTAAATAAAGAAAAACTGAAAACCGAATTAGAAGTAATGTACATGAGGGAAGACTTCAGAAATATTACAGGTGGTTTGAATTTGCTGTCCCTATTGACTAATAACAACCTAGAGGAAACTTTTAGCGAAGTAACTAAGTTGTTGCAAATAATTATAACTACTCCCATGTCAACTTCCGAAGCAGAGCGCTGTTTCTCAACCCTTAAGAGGATAAAATCGTTTTTAAGAAACTCGATGGGCAATGAACGACTGAATGCATTGGCAATGATGTCTGTTAATAAGAATCTGGTACATAATATCAGCAATTTCGACGAAAAAGTGATGGAACATTTTATTTCACAGAAAGACAGAAGATTAGACTTTACATATAAACATTAAAAAATATTTTGTAATAAATAGAAGTGTGAAGTGTGACAGTTGAAACACAATGTTTGCTCTAGCTGTAGGTAGGTATACTTAGTCGTTTATAATACAATAATACACTTAGGTAGACCGTATTTCTGTTCTATTTTCCAGTTATTTATAGTTACATGTGTTGTAAGAAAGTGAAATACTATACTTTTGAGTACTGTTGTTCTTTTGATAATAGATGCTCTGTTGCTTTCATATTAGATGCTGCTTTCTTTTGCGATAAGTTCTCGTACCTAAAATATGTTTGTTCCTATACAGAGGACTGTACATAAAATATATAGGTATAGGATTGCCAACTGATCCATCCACAAAATCAGGACATAAAAAATGCAAAAAAAATTATAGCTCTAAAAATGTATATTTGAATTTGAAGGCTCAAAATGGAAGTTTTTGGGCGTGACACCGTAAAAATTCTTTGCCTCCGGCGGTGACTGCGGCAGGCCACCCTTCCCTACAATAGCCCCCCATTTCTCACAGCCACCGGCCGCCACTGATAGATGTGCAGGCTGTCGTCAAGCTTTTGCTTTTTCAGATCAAATGTCCAATAGCTCAACAACAAATAATCAAAACCCACAAGTATGTTATATCAATTCTTTGAAAATGTTTCAAAAATAAGGCATTTCTTTTTAAAAAAATCAACCATTCCGGAAATATTGGAAACTGTCATGTATTTGTTACTAATCAACAACGCAACTATCGGTGACACAATAGTACGCTCACTTTATTTCTTCTACTCAACTTCCACTCTGTAGTACTACAGCAACTGATATTTAATTGGAACGTAATCTAAAAATTGTTTCTTAAACGCAGTTATAAGGACTCTCGCATATTTCAATATACGATTTCAATAGTCGTATTCATACGATTCATATTGCTCTAAAATTTTAAGCAATAATTCAAATACTATATTTATTTTTCGGGAGGTGGGCTTAGCCCCAGGATTGGAACATTCATGACGTGTATGTCATTTTCATTCACACAAAAAGGTCGATGCTGGGGTACAGAGTCAATTTACTTGTCTCATTTATTGACATGTATCAAGACAGAATTAAGCTGGTTTCACTCCAAATGCTGCAGTACCGCATATGTTATAGCCACCAATTTTGAGCACAAGCTTTAAATGAAAAATTTTACTGATGTTTCATTTGCCACAAAACATCCATCCTTTCAAAAAGAACAAAAATGAAATTAATTTTGGGATTCAGTCTCTCCGAATACAGAAAATATAAAATCATATTTGTCTTCCGACCCTATGAATCAAAATCTGTACAAAGCTTTACTTTATAATAAATATCATGAAAACGTCTCTCAGAGCAAAAATTACCTCCAAATGTCTGCAGGTATTTTTAGAGTCAAACATTTTTTAATAAAACCATTTACCTCAAGTCTAATATTAAATAATTTGCAAACAGCTGAAAGGACCGGCTAAATTCATAGTGTGAAAAAAGCTAAGCTAAAACTGAAAGGCGCCACTCGAAAAAGCTGTATTACACATCCGAGTAATTAGCTTTTGCTTTTATTCTCATATTGCTTTGACTAAACGGCTTAAAAAAATCTTTCAGCGTGTTACTTTGTGGTCGATATGGAAATGTTTGTGCCAAAAATGCTCGCCTCCCGTGACGGTGACGTGTTGAGATTTATGTTTTATGAACGATGTTTAAAAAGGTGTCTGTTTTTTATCACGTTCTAGCTACTTTTATAATAATAATCTTTAACGGTCTAACTGCAAAGTTTTCGTATAAAAAATAACGGTAGTGTCCAATAAACAAGATACCCAAAAAAGTGTACACTTGGGTTGGGTTTTAACCGAACTTGAATTATATGAATACAACACATTTCCTATACGTATACTAGTCAAATGTATAAATGTGTATCAATTTATTATCAAATAACATATTGATTTTTAATGTCTACAAACTTATGGATTTGTATCCTTGACTGATGTAGAATCCATAATTTTAATTGAATTTTTAAACGTTTTTTTACATTTTATATGTTTAAAGTTTGCAGAAATAACATTATAAGATTTTGAGCATAGAAAGTAGAATGATCTTTGGTTGATAGTTTTATTTTGTCTAGGGATAAGTTCAGATAATTCCTTGATTCACGTTTGATGGTTGTTGCTGAAATAATATAACAATTTTGGATTTTTTGTTAAATATATGATAAAAATATATTTGCCGGCAGTGGAAAATCTGAGATTCACTATAAAGATTTTCTTTGAGATAACATTTCTTGTTATTCAAAATAACCTTCAAAATCCACTTCTATGTAAATTCCATTCCTTTATAATAGGTGTATATTCCATCTTAGATGGTTATCTATGAATACCCCTAAATATTGTATTGTACGTTTTAATTTGGAGTTGATTTGGGGAAGGTCTGTTGTCGCAAGAAAATGTAGTAAATTTGTTTTGTTGAAATTGTTCAAATCCTCTCCGTGATAAAATGTGTAAGCTTTTGAAGATCTAATACAATTCTGTTTTTAAAAAAATCACAATCTTTGTCCGAACAAATAATTGATGTATCGTCTGCGAATCGAATAATTTCTCCATCGTTCTTTAACTTAAAAAGGTCATTAATATACCAATTAAACAGCATTGGTCTTAATACGGTTCCTTGAGGAACTCCGCGTCTAATTGCAATATTTTCGCTTCGGGTACTCTTAATACTCACACATTGTTTCCTGTATTCCAACTAACTTTCCATGAGTTGATAAGTGACTGCACGAAATCCTAAATTTTCCAAGGTTTTTAATATTTATAGTATCATTGTCTGATTACTGTCAACGTATTTGTAAATTTTTTGTGTTAACTGAATAAGTGCATCCTCAGTTGACTTTGCTTCGTGGAATCCGTATTGCTGTTCAGATATGAGGATTTATTTTGCAATAAAATCGTTTTTTCAAGAATTTTTTCGAACGATTTTGAAAATCTTGTCAATGCTGAAATTGTGCGATAATTACAAGGTTTCTGTTTTCCTCCAGATTCGAATACAGGTTTTATTTTTGCCTTTTTCAATCGGGTCAGAGTACTTCTACATCCATGCAGGTATTTATACGTATAAGATATAAACGTACTTTAGAAAGTGTATTATATATATATATAGAGAGAGAGAGAAAGCAATCATGCGGAGAAAGGTATATAACAAAAAAATAGGAAGGACATTCTTTTTGCGAATTTTGCCCATATTTATATTATAATTTATTTCTTTCATAGTGTATGCGGTTATATAATCAAAACCCAAAACTTTGATCCTCAATTTCGGATTGATCGGTCGGTGTCAGATACAGTTCTTTCTTCTCATGGAGCAACAATCAACAAACAGAAAGCTACTTCAACATATTTAAGCAAATACTTACTACGCGCTAAGCAGTGTGTGCTTTGAAATATTTTTCCAAATCATTACGTCTTTTTTCAGGTTGACTGTTCATATGACAAACAGTGAGCCGAATAGAGCATTCTCGCTGGTTTCTCATTGGCTGATTTACGCAAACAGTGCTGTGAATCCAATCATCTACAACTTCATGAGCGGTAAGTTTCCATTACTAATATTTAGTTAATTTTTTTCACTTGTAGAATTCGAGACTGCAATTACGCAAGAATTTTTGAAATTCTGCATCAATGGCGTTTAAACTTCTCATGTAAAATTTTCACTTTCGACCACCGTAGCTACAAGTAAACGAAACTGGGTGAACTGGGGTAATTTGAGACAATACTCCTCAGAAAAACCCTAAATGTCGTGAGGTCCTATTTTTAGTAGAAAAATAGGCTTTTGGAGCTTCCTGTCAAACTCAGAGAAAATGTGATATCGGATTCATGATTGCTAACTATTGAAATTAAAATCAAAAGTCAACTTCAAACTAGTTTGCTATATCTTCATCCAGCACCCTGTTTCCCAAAAGAATATTTTAAGTGTACTGAATATCAACGTCTGAAACATTCATATTTAATAGGTCGCTCATTCTTAAATAACACCAACTAATCAAAGTTTAGTTAGGAAGATTCAGTTTCAATTAATCATTTTTAATTTCCCCCTGTTCCGTAATCACGCTATTGCATCGCACACCTTTTTAAGGCGTGTTCAACGAATAAACCCATTTCTCGTAATTTTCTTTACTCAACAGTATTTGAATTATATCATCGTCAAAATTAATGGCAAGCTGTCATTGCAGCCTGAAAGTCAAAAACAATAAAATTGAGCGAGATACATTGTGACTTTGAAGTTGAGTCATTAATTTTCAGATAATGATTGTAGAAGGAAGATAAACCAAAATATGTGTGTAAAAATAAAAAAAAAATTTTACCTTGTTTTATAAAGTATCCTCCCGACAAGTATTTCAGTGCGGACCTGTATTTGATCGTGAGGTCCCCTGTGAGGTCTTAAGTCACCTGATTCACGAGCCCGTTGTACTACATTAACAAAGGCACGAGGGGTTGGTTGCACTCGATTGGGAAACCGATCCGCATAAACATGTGCCATTTTTTATTTCGTTTGAGCCACGCAACAGACACCACTATTCACACGCGTTACCGACTGACACTGACTGTATGTATACAACTGAATAAAATAATTGTAAAAACATCGTTCCAATTCTTTCGCTTTTTTGTTTCCGATGCGATGAACCGATAAGGCGGATTATATCCGTTGTTGCCAAACACGAGCACATGATATTATTATTGAGACAGGGCGGTACTCAAACTTCCAAAGGGCTATAACTTTGTTACTTTAATTTTACCAGAAAAATGGTAAAGGAAAAAAACATTTCTTTTGATCAGATCTACTCACTGTTAAAATAAATGACTCAACTTCGAAGTCACCCTATATTCTGTATAGTCTGAATTCTGGTTCCATATTCCGTAGCGGATGTACCTATTGCATTACGGCAAAAACTACCAACGGGCAGTGAAGTATACTGAGTGACAAAAAAAGGTAAACACCTGCGTATGTTTGTCTGATTTTAATAATTTGTGGCATATATGTTCAGTGTTCCTTACTAGTAAAATGATTAAATTGTCAGCTTGATTGGTCAACTCACTGCAGAAGCTTGTTCAATAATGTGTTGATAAGGTGGTTGATATCCTGTTGGGGTATCTCATTCTATGCTACTGCAACTTCGTGAGTAAAAGCTGCTATAGTCTATGGAGGGTATTGCAAATTCAAGAGTCTGCGATCCGTCATATCCCAGACATGTTCAATTGGAGATAGGTCATGCGATCGTGGTGGCCAAAGTAAACGGTTGATGCGATGTTGATCCATGAAGGCTAACGTTGTTCTGGCAACATGCGGTCTGGCACTGTCTTGCGGAAAAATCGGGTTTTGGAAGGTGTTTAGGTATGGAATAAGATGAGGCTCCACTACTTCCTGAATATAGCGTCAGGCTGTCATATTGCCTCTGATGAAAATTAGTGGTGAACTGCTACCATAAGCAGTAGTCTTTCACCACGTCGCCTTCTCACTTTTGCCCGACCATCGTGCATCCCCCAGACCACCTGATTCAGTTCCTGGTCCCATACAATTCTTTCTCTACACCAGAGCAAGCAGTTACGCCGTTGTTCAGCTGTGAGAGGTAGCACCCAATGTGGGCGATAAGAAAAAAGTCCAAACTGTCGTATTCGGCGATATACCGTACAGTTTATAAGAAAAAAGATTACGATTTCAAATATTATAGCTTGCCATACATTATTGTAAAACTATACTAAGTGACATATAAATCCGAACACCCAGTTTAAATGGTTTTATTTTAATAAAATTTTGTATAAGTACTTAATGAAGCATAATAAGTAAATGATAAAAATTTCAAAATGATTGCAATTCTTTAAAGCCCTTTGACCTTTAATAATGTGTGGATGCACCCTGATGTACTACGCGTTCTCCAACGCGCCTAGGCATGCTTCTGATCAGGTGGTCAATGTCCTTCTGTGGTATCTCATTCCAGGCAACCACCAACTCCTCTCGAAGTGCTTCTAGAGTCTGAGGAGGACGTTGCAAATTGAGCAATCTCCTACCCATCATATCCCACACGTGCTCAATTGGGGATAAGTCGGGAGATCTTGGTGGCCATGGTAACAATGTGACATCATTATGTTGAAAGAAGTCTATTGTGACTCTTGCAACATGTGGTCGGGCATTATCTTGTTGGAAAGTTGGATCTGCCAGGGTGTCAAGATAGTGTAAAAGATGGGGTTCTAGAACTTCGTGGATATAACGCTGTGCGTTCATGTTACCTCTGATGAAGATTAATGGTGACCTGGAACTATAAGCTATAGCACCCCAAACCATAACTCCAACAGTGTGATGAACATGTCTTTCAACAAAAAACTGTGGATTCCTCCTTTTACCACGTCGCCTTCTAACCCTGGCACGACCATCGTGCATGCCTAAACAAAATCGAGACTCGTCACTAAAGACAATACTGTTCCATTCCTGATCCCAGAGTGACCGTTGTCTGCACCACTCAAGGCGATTACGTCGGTGTTCTCGAGTTAAAGGGAGGACCCAGTGTGGCCGGTATAAAAACAAGCCAAAACTTCTCATTCGTCGGTAAACACTTCGCATGCCAATAGGTCTTCTGTGTTCTGCAAACCATTCATTTGCAATGGACCTGGTAGTGGAGAAACGGTCCCTTAAGGCCAATAATCTTAGGCGGCGATCTTCACGGTCTGTTGTTCTACGGCGGCGTCCAGTGCCGCTTGCTCTTTGCGTACGGCCTTCTCGAAGCCTTGCCTGACAACACCTAACCACAGTGTCTACACTTCTTTGCACTCTAACTGCAATTGCCCGAAAAGAAAGTCCAGCTTCCCGAAGTCCCACTATACGGCCCCTATCAAACTCACTAAGTTGACGAAATCGTACAGGTCTCCGTACTCTAGGCATCGTAACCGATCGTAAAGGATGTCAAGAACCAAAATCCGCCAACGTTGATTATTTACTGCGGCTGAAATATTCATTTTTAGAGCGTTAGTGAATTAAAAAAAAGCAGTATAAAAACCGGAATGTCCAACTGATAAGGCTGAAAATTTTTTCACTTGTTATTTACAGTATGATAAATACATTCACCAACTTTTATTAAAATAAAACCATTTAAACTGGGTGTTCGGATTTATATGTCACTTAGTATATATTAAAGAAAACGAATTTTCCTGAGTGAGCTTTGAAATTTTCATATATTCATTTATTTCATTAAATATCAAATAACATGTTACAGATTTCAAATAATCCTAATAATTTCCCATCTAATAAACATTGATTCAGTTTGTGGAGAAACCTGTACATGAACAATTTAATTTTTATAAAAAAACGTGCTTTTTATTCAATTTTTGCCGAACTGGAGGAATGGAGAGGGCTGGGCCCGCTGGATACGCCTATGACCTGAAGGCATCATAATATACTCCCTTGAAATGGCCTGTTTCATGAACGAATTCTAACCGACTGTCTCAGGATGAGGGTTATGTTTTTGGCGCATGAGTATGTATGATTGTGGACAAACAGATTTCTATGTCACGGGCTACAGTTCAAACATATGAGGTGTCGTTGGATTCGTCTTAAGCCGCGTACAGACCGAAAATCCAACGCCGAGCAAACAAATGCAAGCACATGTGACGTTGGCGTTGGTTGTTGGAAGGTATTGGAATGTGCTCGTCTAGACCTAAATTTAGTTTCGAGTTGGACCGCGTCGGGTTAAGTTCGGTGCTAATGTCGTGCGCTGAGTCTCCTCTCATCGAATGCAGATAAACAACTAAATACTAGAAGCGCAACAAATCCTGTCCACACTAAAACAAACCTCCCTTTGATGTGCCGATCAAGGAGCGAACGCAATCGGACGCCGACGCCGACCTTGGAAACCGTTGGCTTATGTTGACTCGCACCATACACACCGATTCGAACGCATCTAAATCTGTAACCACATATGGCTTGACTTACGTTGAAATCTCGGTCCGTACACGGCTTTAGCAGTGCGAGTGAGTACTGGTTATATTTCAATCTTTAAAAAAAATTACGGAGTGTACAGAAAGTTTTAACTCTGATATTTCTATTTCATGGGCTACTGCTTGATCAGCTAAATTTGTTTTGTCAGTACGAGTGACACTGGGTATACTTACATTTTATATAATCAAAACTGAAACTTTAACTTCGAAATTTCTACTAGAAGTATCCTTAGATTCCACTAAATAAAAACCTCATTCTTTTCAATTACCATACGCGCATTTTTTTGTGTTTTTTAAAAATGTATCTATAAATTGATTGCCAATGTGTTTCTTTTTCAGGTAAATTCCGCAAGGAGTTCAAACGAGCCTTCGACTCGTGTTGTCAACGAGACCAGTCAGATCGAAATTACTGTAACTATGCAGGGACGTTCTACCACAAGGACTCGGGATTCGCATCCAGGACGCAGTCGAGGAACGACTATGAAATCCACAGACTGAACACATTCAAAGACATCGAATCGAAACTGATTAGAAAAGGCACGAGGACTAGCGTGCTACACGTCGATATCTGAAACAAGTCGGCTGCTGTTCGTCAGAAACAGATGATCGAAGAGGAATAGTTGAGACTGTGTATCTTATGAGATCTCATTTTCGAATTTGACAGATATTTTTTATGTAATGGCGAAATGTAAGATATCCATAGCATATATTGATAGCTTATAATAGTTTGACATGACTGATCGAAAAAAAAATGGTGATAAACCATCTATCGAAATAAAAAGCAGGTACTGCATGTTTTATATTTGAGCTGCCATGAGAACCTAGCCTAATGCGCACCCTAAACAGAAGTTGAAATATTGAAATTACTACCTGTCCACTATTGCTTCTCAAGGCGAATGTCACACAATCAGTATGCTTACTGTGATCCGTCATGAAATGTAAAATTTATTAGCTGGATGACACTGATGGAATGATCAGTAAATATTGATGGTGCATACCACTGTAAATTCAGATCGTGTGACTTATTTTTTTTTTCTGTAAATTAATCATGTCATGGTGTTATCAAGCGAAACATTGCTAAAAATATTGACAAGCTCTCGACCGTCAAGTGAATCACGTGTTGACACTGTTATTCTCCAAACAACAATACATACCTACCCCATACGGGCAAGACTTTCGATTAATAAAACGTACTCAAATCGGTTCACCCGTTTGCGATAGAGGATAAAAATCATTTTTTTACACCGAAGCATAGCGCGCAGGAAAAAGCCTAACTCCCAGTGCCCGCGACTGCTATGTGGAGCTGGAAAGAACTTTTGAACTGCCTGAGGTTAGTAGTACTGAGAAAATCTTTCTCATGAAGATTATTCCACAATCTCTGCATGTACGAAGTTAAACACGGTTAGGATGGGAGGCCGAAATTGGGCTGGACTGTCTGGCAGGCACGTCACGCGGCGGCATCATGGACGAGAGCTCTGAGGAGCAAAGTCCATTGGCGTAGTGTCCGACGGTCCGCGGGTGGAAAAGGGTCCCGAGACTGTCCGATAGAGAGAAAAGTCATCGACCAGTCGGACGGCCCTCCTCTGATCAGCATCGAGCATGGACAATGTAGTCTGGGCGGCAGCACCCCAAACATATGAGCAATACTCGAGGCTTGGTCTTATCTGGGCATTGGTGGACGCTAAGTGTTTACTAATACACAGTCACCGGGCGCTGCGCGGGTTCGAGTCCCGTCCCAAGGTAATGTTTCTCTTGGCTATGGATGTTGTGATTGTCCGTAGGTAGTAGATGGTGTCGGGCTCTCAAACGTGGAGGTACCACCCGGCGGGGCCTAAATGTAAGCATGTCGCATGCGCACATGTTCCCTAGCTAGAGTTCCTTTTCACATCCCCCACGGCATCTTCGGGTGTTCTCAGACCTTTGGCTTTCGTATTGGTTGAGGTATACAAAAAAATCGAATACCCCATCTAGATATATTGGCTCGGTCTGGGTTGCTCATCAGCACGTTCACCCCCCTATGGCTTTTGAACAGCTAAACCGATTTTCATCAAACATAGCTAAAAACTATCTCTACAGACAAGACTTCTGATTCAAAAAATACACTCAAATGGTTTCATCCATAGGCGAGTTGCGATGCCATACATATACACACAGATACTCGTAGCACCCCTTGTTTTTGCATCAGCCTTTGAAAATGAAGTTGAGTGCTTGAGGCTAGTGAATAAACGGAAACGTTATTGCTGTAACTACTATAAATATTTTCTCCTTGTTGGATATACATGATGGTACTCAAATTTGTGTTGTTGAACATATCACGTCGACGAATAACTCCCCTAATTATGTACAAACATTATTTAACGATTTCTTGGTTCTAGCATGGATCATAAGAACTAATAGAGCAAGGACTATTCTCACAAACGACTGCAATTGCCCAAAATACTTGAATCTTCAGTACATATTGAAAATTTTCTCAAAGTTGGAAGATTTCAAAAATGACTACATTCTCTTCAGTCTTGAATAACATTTCTAATGTGCGACGAACTAAATAAAGTGCGAGTACTCACCGTTCCAAGCATTTCCACAGCCCAAACATCGAAGTACACGTTCTGGATAACCAGACTGACAAATATAATAATTTGCTCACCAAGTTCACCAACGGAGTTAATTTCACTTGTGTACACTGAATACTGTTGCCCCGGAGGAATATTCAAAAGGGCGCATCTTGTCACCATCGTTTTTTTTTCAGGAGTTGGAATCAGACGCAAGACTTTTTGCCAAAAAGAGATTACAGTCGTTAAAAATGACTTTAGAAAAACTAATTTTGGGCTTCGCCACCGACGATTCACAAACACCGATGGAGCAGTACAATTATTTAAAGATTGACTAATTACTGTGAAAAAAATGTACCAGACTGAATCGGCAAATGATCTTAAAAACTAGCTTATTTAATGCTCTTTTAAAAATAGTAGGTTATTTCTACTAAAAATTCAATAATTCCAAGTTTTGTCATTGAGGTCGTAATACTTGCGAAATACTACAAATAAAAAATAGGTGCAGCCGTCGTTTGTATCCAAGTCACTAAGTAATGAAACATCCTAAACATGTGATTGATTCACATTCATTGTTCGGTCGGTAGCATCATGTCACCTCGAGGAACAGAGGTAGTACCTGCGCACCGCATGCTCAGGGTTAATTTTATATTAGCGCTACCCACGTGTTATTTAGATCTTTCGCTGTTTAGGTCGCTTCATTCCTTAGTGTAAAAAATCTTGGTATCGAAAATTGTCCAACTCTTGTAAAGTACGAGTATATATAGTCTAAATTGAAGACCTACAATCAATTTGAATTGTGGAAATCAGACAGCACAAAGTGTTATCTATTACCAGAATAGACCACTGCGAGAGTTGTCTGGTGGAACTGAATCCCAGATCGCAGTGTCAGCCGGGTCACCACTGTGGCCGCTAGATGCCGCCCATTTTGGTGCTATACTAGATACGGTCTAATCGCCATTGAACCATCTTCCAATGCTTCTACAATTACAGTCTGCCAGTGAACGTATCATTAATCCATGATTTTTTTTTGGAAATAAGTCAGGGTAGCCCCACTGGTGCACAAGTTTTTTTAAGAATAGGACAGCGTTAACACTTTCGCTGATAGCTTCTATGATGCAGAGTAACCCAGATAAGGCAATGTTTTTTTTTATAAAATTTTAATTTTTTAGGCTTTAGGCTTTCTAAGTAGTAAACTGAAGCCTATATGAGGGTAATTATATGTTTTCTGTTGGGTTATATTAAAACAATTTTATTAAAAGTCAGTAAAAAATATTTCATCATAAAGCCAAATTTATAAAAAAACGGTCAGATGTCACGCAAGTGTGTCATCTGCAACTGGCAAAAAAACGCAAGCGTAACATCAGCAGTGAAAGTGTTAAGACCAGACAGAACATAAAACGAATAATAAAGAATAATAAAATACACACGTCTTAGGAAGCGTCGAAGAATATTTTACATATTTGATGCATGAAAAAGTGGTGACGAGTCCAAGTCAATTAAAAAATATATTAACTGACGCTAGATCATATATCTTCTGTTATAATTGTGTATCACTGTAAAAAGTATAAAGTTTGTGGAAGTAATGCTCAAGTCATTGTATTTTGTGATATTCAACAATATAATGTAAATACATAGCACATATACAATTTCGGCCTGTATATAAAATTATTATTAACAGAAAGTGGATAACAACGGAACTTTGCAAGTGTACATAACAAAAAATACATACAAAGTGTAAAATATCACAAACTGAATGTAAAATCTGAAAATTATCCTATGGTTTTCATGTTGATAATCCGCCATGCTTAACTGACCAAACAAACCTCATTGTATATTCGAAATTCTTCTTTAATGTAATGAACATTTCAGTCAAAACAGAAGGTCACCATTGTGACCAAAACGTTTACTACTTTAAAGAAGAATTTCAAATATATGTGGTTCCACTGGCTAGACAAAACTGGTGGATTATAACAAACTTATTCATAAATCTCCATATTTAAGCAACTGAAATGAAGTATTGCAGATGACCCAATTCCAAAATTAAATAATTAGCAAATTAGTATATAAAACGGTAATCAAAAGAAATTGGAGGCATCTGGGCTACCAGTTCTAGTTGATAAGAACATACTGTTACTCTATTGTAAAAAAAAGATAAACCGCCAGGGTATGCTCAAAAAATGTTTCTAATATCGTACTTCTATGAAAAGGTAAAACGCACAAGCTGTACCTTTTTGAAAGAGCTTAAATTCATCCCATGTGTAGATAGATAATCCATTTAAATCGATTTTCAATTACTTCAGTTAATGCAGACACTTTAAATTTCTGGTCATACCCTTGTGCAATGTATAGATATACAAATACTCAAAATATCATTTGTTAATAAGAGTAAATCTTTTTCTGTAAACTGTAATAAAGGGGATAAAAAAAACGTTTAATGTTTCAAACAAATAAGATCAGTGTTATACATGTACCATAAAATAAATGTCAATCTGATTTTTCACCATCGTTTTCTTCTTCCTATTCTACAAAGTGTCTGCATATTTTGCATGTTGCAGAGCCATCTTTGCACACTGGTGCAGTTCTTTATCCAGTGGGTCTAAAATTTGAAGCTGTTTACAAAATGTATATTTACCAAAATGCACATATACTAAGTGACATATAAATCCGAATACCCAGTTTAAATGGTTTTATTTTAATAAAATTTTGTATAAGTACTTAATGAAGCATAATAAGTAAATGATAAAAATTTCAAAATGATTGCACTGCTTTAAAGCCCTTTGACCTTTAATAATGTGTGGATGCACCCTGATGTGCTACGCATTCTCCAACGCGCCTAGGCATGCTTCTGATCAGGTGGTCAATGTCCTCCTGTGGTATCTCATTCCAGGCAACCACCAACTCCTCTCGAAGTGCTTCTAGAGTCTGAGGAGGACGTTGCAAATTGAGCAATCTCCTACCCATCATATCCCACACGTGCTCAATTGGGGATAAGTCGGGAGATCTTGGTGGCCATGGTAACAATGTGACATCATTATGTTGAAAGAACTCTATTGTGACTCTTGCAACTTGTGGTCGGGCATTATCTTGTTGGAAAGTTGGATCTGCCAGGGTGTTAAGATAGGGTAAAAGATGGGGTTCTAGAACTTCGTGGATATAACGCTGCGCGTTCATGTTACCTCTGATGAAGATTAAAGGTGACCTGGAACCATAAGCTATAGCACCCCAAACCGTCGGTGTTCTCGAGTTAAAGGGAGGACCCAGTATGGCCGGTATGAAAACAACCCAAAACTTCTAATTCGTCGGTAAACACTTCGCATGCCAATAGGTCTTCCGTGTTCTGCAAACCATTCATTTGCAATGGACCTGGTAGTGGAGAAACGGTTCCTTAAGGCCAATAATCTTAGGCGGCGATCTTCACGGTCTGTTGTTCTACGGCGGCGTCCAGTGCCCCTTGCTCTTTGCGTACCGCCTTCTCGAAGCCATGCCTGACAACACCTAACCACAGTGTCTACACTTCTTTGCACTCTAACTGCAATTGCCCGAAAAGAAAGTCCAGCTTCCCGAAGTCCCACTATACGGCCCCTATCAAACTCACTAAGTTGACGAAATCGTACAGGTCTCCGTACTCTAGGCATCGTAACCGATCGTAAAGCATGTCAAGAACCAAAATCCGCCAACGTTGATTCTTTACTGCGGCTGAAATATTCATTTTTAGAGCGTTAGTGAATTGAAAAAAGCAGTATAAAAACCGGAATGTCCAACTGATAAGGCTAAAATTTTTTCAATTGTTATTTACAGTAAGATAAATACATTCACCAACTTTTATTAAAATAAAACTATTTAAATTGGGTGTTCGGATTTATATGTCACTTAGTATACATAGGGTACTATAAAAGTTTTGTAATACTACTTAGCAAACGGTCGCAGGAGGCTGCATGTTACATGTTGAGACATGTCCATGAGTGCGTAGTAGCCGCCAGCAGTACGTCTGTTGATTTAGTTGCCATTCAGTGTAAAGTGCGGATTATGGCATCGTGGTCACGTGGTGAGATGAGTGCAGTTTTACCCGTATGCTTAGAAGTAATGACGCTTGCATTAAAGAATGATTGTCCTCATCGTACGACTATATTCAGGTGGTACAGAAAATTCCAAAGGGGCAATTTCACTTTGGAGGACGCTGAGAGGGAGGGAAGACCTCGAACGTCAGTAAAGCCGCGTATACATATGCGAGCCGAGCCGTTCGCGAGCCGCTCGTGGACCGCTCAAAAACTGTTCGTTGAAATTACTTTTACAACGAACGTCCAGCGATCCATGGAATAAAGCCGAACCAGCCTCAAACCACCAGCGAATACCAGTCCGTGTACTTCAGTTTGAATCATGTCTTCGCGCAAAGAAATTTACTCGATCATCGTAATGAGTGGTGCGGCTTTAGTAATTGGTAGTTTGTGCAAGAAAAAGAGGAAACAAAGGCATAGGTGGCATAGTGATCTATATAAGAAACGCAGTGGTAGGGAACTTATGATGGTCTTGAAATCACAAGAAATGAGCGGCCAATATAAAAACTTTACGCGAATGTCGCCTACTGATTTTGAAAATCTGTTGCTGAAAATTGGCCCCCGAATTTCAAAAGAGGAAACATATTTTCGCACCCCCATCTCCGCTCAAGACGGGTAAGTAGTCAGAGTGCGTGTGTTATATATTACGCCACCTGATGCAAAAACAAGTCAACCAGTTGTCTAGTTTTTGAATTGAGTACATTTCCACACTTTTAGTATGTTTGTGGAAATAGAATTTTCTTGACGATATTGCTTCACTACATTCATCCTGTTTCTTCAGAATTATAAATACAGGTATAAGTGTGGAAACGTTTCTCTTCCGACCACTCCATATTCCAAAATAATGCTTGCGAGCAGCACAACGTCACACAAACACCTCCCAATATGAACTCCGAATCCCTTTGTGTTCGTCAGGACACGGTTCGCAATGACCGGCTCAGGAGCGGTTCGTGAGCGCAAAGTCTGGTGCTATAAATTCCGTCCCAATATACGAACTAGCAGTTCGCAAGCGGCTCGGCTCGCATATGTATACGCAGCTTAACAGGAAAATATTGCTGCTGTGAGGAAAATGCTTGACGAAGACCGGAGAGTGGCATACCGACAGGTAGAGGAGACGTTTCACCTTCATGCTCAAGCAATTCATTCAATTCAGCATGACCAATTACACATAAGGAAACTTTGTTCTCTGTGGCTACCGCATAGTCTGACGGAAGAGCAGAAGACTCGTCGTACGACTTGGTGCCGAAAAATGCTGAAAATGTTTGATAAGGGGCAATCTCGGTATGTGAACAGCAGCGTGACCGGTGACGAGACTTGGCTCTATTATTATGATGTGCCGACCATGGCTCAAAACAAAGTTTGGGTCTTTGATGATGAGGACACAACCGCAGCTGTCAGAAAATCCCAATCTGTTAAGAAAAAAATGATAGCTGGCTTTTTCAAATCGTGGACCGTGTCGTTCTGGACACACAGAAGAGAGTCACAGCTAAGTGGTACACGGAAGAGTGCCTGGCTAAAGAAAAACCTGCAGCCAAAGGCAAGAATGGACACTTGGTACCTCCAGCATGAAAACGTTCCAGCTCACCACGCCAAAGCCTGCACCGAGTATTTAACCACTACTGGACTGAAAGTTATTGAGCACCCTCCTTGCAGTCCATATCTTGCTCCCTGCGACTTTGCTGTTTCCGCATGTGAAAATGAAGCTAAAAGGAAAACGGTTATCTAGCGATGATGACCTTCTGAGGGCTTGAGACGAGTGTACCGCACTCCCGGGTGAAACTTGGCAGAGCTGGTTTAAGGACTGGTTTTGGCGGATGAAGAAGTGTATTGAATGTGGTGGAAATTACTTTGAACGAAGTCAATAAATGAAGTTAGTAGAGAAGTATTGCAAAACTTTTATAGTATCCTTTGTACAAAATATACTTACATATTTTGTGCTTCCCAACAATAGGATAAAAAATGGGCAAAATCATTGGATTTGAGCAGATCAACACAAATGGACTGTTGCTCTCTCCATTGGGATATCTTTTTCTGTATTCCTCATGCTCTAAACAGTCCTCAACAAAAACACAGCCTAGAAGACATCCAGTTGGGTAGTCCTTTGGGAAAGTAAGGGTATTCTCTGCAATACAAAAAGCATGGTTGGCCAAAGTTCATCATCAAGTCAAGCTTTTTGATGTTGGAGTTACCTTGATAGTATTTCCTATAAAAAGCTTCTACTGCCTCTACTTCGTCCTCATCAGGCTCCTTGGCTGCTGCAGCAATCCAAAGCCTTCCACGATGGTTGGTAGGCCATGTCCTTCCTTCATGCCTGCAAATATTTAATAATGATAAACCCAAGATAGAAACAAAGGTCTTTATCAAAAGTATGCACCAGAAATCCTCGACTTTGACAGAGATGTGCAAAAATATTGAGGTACTCACTTCTTCACGCCCGCTACAAGGAGGCTAGCATATGGTTGATGCATGCTCAGGCATACCCCATGATCTGTATTTGTAATCATCTCCTCATCAAATACGCGAGTTCCATAGTTCACCAAAGCCATGTTACTATCTTCCATAGCCAAATCTTCTTCCTCACCAATTGGTTTTTTATGACGCATTTTTATCAGCAAATTGATCAAATCCTCATTCTATAAGCAAAAATAAAATGTTAGAGAATATTTTATTGTAATAATTAACAATAACCAACTGCAGCCTGCAAATTTAAACTCATATATTTAGATCAATTTGATACTATAATGCTACATACCTCTTTTTTCAAACATTCACTATAATACTGTTCAGACTGTCTCTGAAGTTGCTTATAGGTCTGTTGAACCCTTTGCAAATGTTCCACTGATTCCTGCAATAGTCTTTCTTTGATTTTCACGTCCTCCTCAGAGCTTTCGATAACCCTTCTAGTAGCAAAATCTAAGGCAACAACCATATTTTGCTTAACACTCTTGTTATCTTTTTTCTTGGCATTTATTTTGAAGTAATCGTTGTCATCATCAAAAACCTTGTTTTCTTTTGGCCTAGGGAAGTAAAAATATGCTAGAAACAGATGAATAGACATAATTTGTATATCTTACTTCATGATAGCTTTTCCTTTTTTGGTAATTTCTATGCCTTCCTCTCCTCTCAAAGAAATCTGAAATCAAGGTAAGTTGTTTTGTTCAGTTTGTACTCGGTACTTGATGATTACCCCACCAAACATGTGTAAATCAAAGAATTGCAGATGCGAAGTGTAGAAACTAAGCACATATGGCTTCCTGGGGTTCTCCAAGAAATTAAACCATCTCAAAAAACAGACAAGGTTACAGCATATTTTTACCGGAATCAGTTGTTTCTTTTGAATGTAAGTAATTTAAAGATAGGGTGTTACTATTACATGTTTTCTCACATAAAAAACATGTCTGGTTAACTTGCAGCCAGAGTGCAATTTTTTATTTGTTCTTCAATGTCACTCTATCTCATTAAGCAGTTTTAATTTGTATTTCTTTTCTAACCTTCCAAAGGCAGCTCAGAAACGTATAGGACTTTAGGACTTAAATTCAGTATTTGTAATGGCCATCACATGACAGCAATTTCAATAGGCTTATAGACCAATATGAATTAGTTACCTCAAAAATTGCAGAAAAAGACTCGATGATATCAACATTAAAAAAACTAACAAACCAACTTGAAATAGTAGGAAAAACTACTCACTTATTCTGAAGCGAAATATTCCCAATTCGAATCACAACACGCAAACTAAAAGCATTACCGTTACACCTGAATCATCACAAGACTGTAACAACACAAGAAAATACCTTTGTAAGAATATTAATTTATCAGATATTGATGTAAAGGTAGAAAATTTTAAAAATTCTAGAAATGGAGGAGTTGAAATTAAAGTGATGGAAGACTATTACGAAAAATTTAAAAACGAGTTGGAAAAAAAATTTAAAGAAAAATACATCATTTCTAGACCGAAACTAGTGAGGCCTAGAATCAAAATAATAGGATACACAAGCAATGAAAAGCCTACGGAAAAAGAAGTTCAACAAGAAATGATACAACAAAATCACTTCACTGCCAAACACGATATTGGAATTACATACGAGTATATAAAACATATGACAGACCGCAATTTTTGCGGAAGTATCCGGCAAAATCTACAGAGACATATTTGAAAAGAAAAATGCGAAAATACTTCTGGGGTGGCAGAGCTTACCTGTCTACGATGATAATGAAATTACACAATGCAAAAAATGTCTGAAATTAGGACATACAGCAAGAAAATGTAGAGGCGTCTCAACCTGCGCAAAACGTGGAGATGGACAATGACACTGTGACTTGTAAATATTTTCAAGACCAACATTTTTCAAAACTAACTTTTTGAAAATTTTAATTTTAACTTTTACATCTCAAACAAAAACTTTTTATTTATAGAATCAATCAGTATATTAGAGATATAAACTATACACCTTTTGAAACGATGATCCTGAACAATGCTCTGGAATATAATGTTTCAGATGGAAATAATTTCAGTATTTTTTACCAAAATATAAGGAGTCTAAATAAGAATTTTGAGGAGCTAAACGTATACTTGAGTTATTTTACGAAAAAATTTGATATTGTTTTGACTGAAACTTGGATTTTCGATTATATACATTTCTTTAAATAAGATGGTTATGACTTATTTTATAACAACGCAGCCTTCAACCAAAATGATGGAGTCGTCGTCTATAAATTTTGCAGACCAAATCATAAATCATATGCTTCAGCGAATGTACGGGGGTAATGACGAAGGTAAATATACTTGGAATTGTTATCACAATAGTATCAAGATACAGACCACCTTCCAGTAATGAAAAACAGTTTATAATTGATCTTGGAAACTATTTGAATGATTGCATTCCTAATACGGATTATTGTGTCTTATATGGTGACCTCAATATAAATATCTTAGATGACAATAGCTTATCTGTACATGAGTACCTAAATATGCTTTCTGAAATCAATTTTATTTCGCTTGTAAATACTCCAACTAGTCCTTAAAGAATCGAATACCTACATTGACTACATTTTTCTTAAGAGTAGATTAGAAGAAATTGATAAATGCACTGCCCTAGTAAAATCAACTATAACCGATCATTGTGGTACCATACTAACACTACCCCTTAATCGAGAAAGTTTTGTTAATAACCAACCTAACAAAAATAATAATAGGTACAAAGAATATATAAATTACGAAAAGCTGAAAGGAGGTCTCGATACTGAGTCTTGGGATCACATATACCTATAGGTCAAGTAATGTGCATGAAGCATCTAAACATCTCACCAACATTATTAAAAAATATATCTCAACGAATACTAACAAAGTTAAGATAAAACACAACGAAGTTCCTAAAAAAAACTGGGTAACTACTGGGCTAATCACATCAATAAATAAAAAAAAGGTACAGATTATATCAGGCAAATCTTACAGAAGAAGCAAAACAAGATTATTTAAACTACAAAAATAAACTTTCCAATTTAATAACTGCTACAAAACAAAAATATTATAGAGATACTACAAAAAAGTAAATCCGATTCTAAAACGGTATTAAATACCATCAACCAAACTTGTAACTCAAACAAACGAAGAACAAGTATTGAACAAATCAAAACTAAGAATATTGTAATAACTACAGATACAGATACAGATATTGCTAACCTATTCAATAACTATTTTGTTGAAGTGGGAGAGAAACTGGCAACTAAAATAAATAAACCTAACACCAATATTCCATCTAAAGTAATCATACAAAATTCAACCTTTGTTGAACCAGTTACAGAAAATGAAACAGAATATACCATTTACAGCCTAAAAAAATAAAAACAGTCCAGGTTTAGATGGCATACGATCAGAGGGTACTCAAAAAAATTGCACCTGAAATTAGAAAACCACTAACATTTTTAACAAATTTGATAATTGAATCTGGGGCTTTCCCAGACCCTTACAAAATAGGAATAATAACACCGATTCATAAATCTGGTGACATATCTAATACCAGCAACTACAGACCAATAACATTAATATCTAATTTGGCAAAGATAGTTGAAAAAATCATAAAGGCTAGGCTCATTAGTTTTTTCAACAAAAATAAGCTTATACGAGGGATGTCTTTTAAGTTTTGCATATGGAAATAAAGCAACACGGTAGGTATGTTTAAATGACTTTATTGTTTTTCGAAGTATTCTCCACGAAGATTAATACACATCCCCATGCGCTCGAACCAATTTTTGAAGCACTTATTCCACTCGTTTGCTGGCAGGTCCAAAACGGCATTTTTGAATGCGTCAACTGCTTCTTCTGGTGACTGGAACCTTTGATCACGCAGTCTGTTTTTAATTTTCGGGAAAGTAAAGAAATCGTTAGGACTTAGATCGGGACTATATGGAGGATGGTTCAATAATTCCACGTTTTCTTCCGTTAAATACTGCCTTGTTTTTTGGCCTGTGTGCGAGCTTGCATTGTCTTGGTGGACGATGATTCTTCTTTCGGGGTTAATTTTTCGAAGCTCGGTGATGACTTTTGGCAAACAAATGGTGGTTTACCAATCTACAGTAACAGTTCTTTGCTCATTAAGAGGAATTGTTGCAATATGACCCGCGTTTGACACAAATGTCGCGACCACCTTGTTCGTAACACTTCGACAACGGATGACTTTTGTTGGCTTTTCTTCACCTTGGAACACCCAAACAGCCGACTGTCGTTTATTTTCTGGTTCATAACAGTAAATCCACGATTCGTCACCACTAACAATGCTGAACACATTTTTTGAGTTTCCGGAATTGAAACGATCAAGCGGTTTTTGACACCAATTAACCCTGGCTGCTTTCTTCTCTTCAGTCAACAGGTGGGATATCCAACGAGAAACTAATTTTCTTGCTCCTAATTCTTCATGTAATATTTTTTGAATTGAGGTCTTTGAGATCTTCAAGGACGCCTCAATCTCGCGATATGTCACATGTCTATCTTCAATGATGAGTTTGCGCACAGCATCGACGTTTTCCTGGGTGACTGCCGTTTTTGGTGACCCACCCTGGGATCGTCGCTAAGACTCACCCGTCCATGTATGAATTCTCCATACCAACGGGAAATTGTCGACTGATGTGGCGCTTCGTTGCCGAAAACAGACAGTAACTCAACAAGGCATTCTTAATGCGATAAATGTCTCTGAAAGTTGTAATAAATTATGGCGCGAAAATGTTCTCGGTTGAGTTCCATTTTTCTAATGACTTGGTGACACTTAAAAATCTACTGTAGTGAGAACTCTGCACGTATTGTTGTGAAACTTTGAATTGAAGTTTACTAAAGAGTGAGGTTCAGATTCAGTACTGACGTTCGATCCGCGCGGCCTACTATTTTTCTATATGCAAAACTTAAAAGACATCCCTTGTACATGAAAATCAATTTGGATTTCAAAAAAATAAATCTACTCAAGGCGCGGTTTCCTTGCTGATAAATTATTAGAACAAAGTAAATATACATTATGCATATTCCTACTATTAGAAACTTTATACAATGCAGGAATTAGAGGAAACGCTCAAAACCTTATGAGAAGTTACCTGTTTTACAGAAAGCAATATGTTCAAATAAATGATTCCATAATTTCAGAAAAAACTTTGACTTATGATGTACCACAAGAGACAGTTTTAGGCCCGTTATTTTTTACTGTGTATATCAATAGCTTACTTAGCTTGAAGTCGCAAGGCACAGTAATATGTTTTGGAGATGACACAGCGATACTTTATTCTAATAACAATTCCTGGGATAACGTTAAAGAGACTGTTGAAAATCACATTATTTTAATTTCAGATTGGTTTAGACACAAATACCTAACAATCAATTTTCAGAAAACCAAGTATATGCCGTTCACAAACCTTAAAAATAAATTACCGTCATTTACTCTATACAAATGAAATGTGACAATACAACTACATTAATACATTCAGCTGGTAAAACAAAATATTTAGGTGTTCATTTGCATCCTCATTTAAAGTGGAATTTCCGTGTTGATCATATAGTAACTAATTTAAGGTGATTATTATTTAAATTCAAGTATCTCCCTAAATATCTATACCATGAAACAATGAAGATGTTATATTATGCACTTATTGAATGTCGCCAAAATTATGCCATACTAGCTTGGGGTAGTGCTCTCACCAACCAAATTGAGAAGCTAGAAATAATCCAAAAACAATTTTTGAAAAGAGACTACTCGATCTCAGACAACTCTTTTTTTACAATGTTTTGATCAATTTATTCAAAAATAAAACAAAACTCATTTCATTTGACCACAAATATGAAACATGAAGTAAAGTCGAGGAATAATAATCAACACGAAATAGAAAAACTCACTAAAATAAAAATAAATTAGTATTTGAATATAATATTATTGCACTTACCTTTATGGTTATGTTGTGTTTAAATTTATGTATTAGCTGTATTTAACTGTTTTAAGCAAAAATTGTTACGAAAAATGTTTTCCCACACACAAGAATTAAATTCTGTGGGATTATTTCAGTTTATTTGCGTATATATGCATATTTATTTGCAATAAACTGTAATACTTTATATGTGAATAAACTTATATTATTATTATTATTATTTAGGCAGTATGAAAGCCTAAGTTGCTTCATTTCAACAAAAATGTAGGACATATGCATTTCCATTGTAAAGCTTCCATTTATGACTAAAAGTTCCTCTCCACAAGTCTAAAATTAACTTCCTATTATGTTAACATTGTCTTACAAATGTAATAGGGAAGATTGAAAAGTATATCAAAAACAAATGTTCCAAAAAATTTTTGTCAAACAATGGCTATATTTTGTATCTGATTAATTCCAACCTTTTGTGTCTCACTTCCAAAGAAACCCTTAAACTATCACAACTGTTTTTCTTTGTGGTGTGTTATTCTCATGGAAAAGTAAATCAATTTCAAACACAAAGAGACACTCCATAAAACATAAAACTCAATAATCTTAATATCATAACTAACTTAAATAAACCAACACCAGTGACATTGCCAGGTACCTGCCTGAGTACCCAGAACCTCAGTATTTGAATCTGGCAATGTACACAGTACTCAGCTTTTTGGAAACAGCAGTACCTGTGTACATCCCTACTTTCAATAGTCTCAATGCAAAAAATGGATTCAAATGGCACAACTAGAACTTGTATTTTAAACATCAGACATTGATAACAGGTGGGCTGAAAAGTCCGTATCGTTTCTATGAGATGGCGCCACCAGAATAAAATCCATACGCTTCTTAGCTAGTACCAACCTTCAAAAGATGCCTGTCAAAATTTGACAGCTGTCGGATCATTAGTTTTTGAGTTATCGTATCGAGAGTGACGCTACTTTTGTTATTTTTGAAAACCATGGAAAGTCAAGAGTTTCGTGTGTTAATGAAACATTATTTTTTGATGAAAAAAAGTGCCGTCGAATGCAAGAAATGGCTTGATGAGTGTTATCCGGACTCTGCCCCGGGCGAAGCAACCATTCGCAAGTGGTTTGCTAAATTTCGTACCGGTCACATGTCAACTGAAGACGACGCACGCAGTGGACGCCCAAAAGAGGTCGTTACGGACGAAAACGTGAAAAAAATCCACAAAATAATTTTGGGAGACCGCAAAATACGGTTGATTGACATAGCTGAGGCCTTAAACATATCAAAAGAACGTGTCAGTCACATCATTCATGAATATTTGGATATGCGAAAGCTCTGTGCGAAATGGGTGCCGCGCAATCTCACATTTGACCAAAAGCAACAACGCATCGACGACTCTGAGGCCTGTTTGGAGGTGATTTTGCGCAATAAAACCGATTTTTTTCGCCGATACGTCACCATGGATGAAACATGGCTCCACCACTACACACCGGAGTCAAATCGCCAGTCGGCCGAGTGGACGGCTGCATCAGAACCACCTCCGAAACGTGGAAAGACGCAACAGTCAGCAGGCAAGGTTATGGCCTCTGTTTTCTGGGACGTGCAAGAAATTATTTTCATCGACTATCTTCAAAAGGGCCAAACTATCAACAGCGACTATTATATAGTGTTACTGGAGCGTTTGAAGGCCGAAATCGCCAAGAAACGGCCACAAATGAAGAAAAAAAAAATCTTGTTTCACCAGGACAATGCGCCGTGCCACAAGTCCATGAAAACGATGTCGAAATTGCATGAATTGGGCTTCGATTTGCTCCCCCATCCACCGTATTCTCCGGACCTTGCTCCAAGTGACTATTTCCTCTTCTCAGACCTTAAGAGAATGCTCACCGGAAAAAAATTTCACAGCAACGAAGAAATCATCGCCGAAACTGAAGCCTATTTTGAGGACAAGCCGAAGGATTACTACCGGAAGGGTATCGAAAAACTTGAAGAACGTTATAATCGCTGTATAGCCCTTGAAGGCAACTATGTTGAATAATAAAAGCGAATTTTGACGAAAAAAATATTTTTTCATTGAAACGATACGGAATTTTCAGCCCACCTGTTATAATAATAACTGGTTAAAGACATACCTTATTTCCACAAAACAGGCATGATCCTGGACCTTCCTCCATACAGTGAATCCTTCCACAATGTACACAATTATTCATAAAATCATGTTCTTGACCCAAGCAATCACATACTGTTCTTCCTATAATATAATTTTTGATAATATGAATTATGAATAAGTACTTGTGATAATATGTGTGTCTAAACCACTCTCCGAACCTACAGCTGTGCAACTCTAAACTCTGCTGAATTAGTTTTGAGAGATTTGATGCTAGAGTCTTTATAAGAAGAATAACTCTCCAAAAATGAGATATACACAGGTGTCAGATGTCCTTTCCAAATTCTTAATTAACTGTGAAATCCTTCAGGCTCTACCCCTTTCTTATTGCTTATTTTATTTAGTGGGTATTTCTTTGGTTAGAAAACACCACAATTCCTGCAAAGTGCCTTGACACTCAAGAATGGTAAATTTCTTGATTATGTGTAGTTCAACATATATAACATTCATGATGTTAAACATGATGGTAGAAATAAAAATATCATGAGACCCATGGAATCAGGTAGGTAACTTGCCATGAAGATCAAAGGGACCAACAGTAGCTAGAATAATATGTGCTACCATAAGCTGTCAAATACAGCCACCCTTATGAGTTAATGATGTGATGTTGTCTAGCTACTCAATGTTCTACAGGAAATGACCATACAGAAGTAGTAGAAATTCATTGTTTGAACAAACCTGGTATTTTCTACTACTTGTTGATAATTGAGTTTTATCAGGTTGCATTCGGTTTTACTTATTTGTATCTTTGAAATACTTACCAAGCCGTTTCTTCTTTTCTTGGTATTTGTGGATATCAGTATACCTTGTTTTTCCTTTCTTACTTGATGAAGCATAATTACTTTGCTTGCTACCACCCTGCTTTTCAGATGTATTATTTTGTGGTGGTTTGTTATCGACTTTGTTATCAGTGTGTCCAAAGAGCAAATACTTGATTGTCTCATAAGCCCTGACATGACCGCTATTACTTCTGTCCACAATGTTTTCCATGAATTCATCATAATCTTCTGCATGTTCTATACTACTTATATATCTGTAATATGAATTATAGTATATTAGGAAATTTCATCAAGCTTAAAAACAAACCTAACTATATCATTTGAAACATCGTTTCCCAAAATAACTTGAAGATGTTTTAATACAGCAGCATTTTCTCTCATTCCAGCCATTTCTCATGAACTATTATAAAACGAACTTAAAAAAAAGAGGAATTAATTGAGCGTGGAACCATCTGAATACTGACTGACTAAAACTGAACTTTTTAGGTTATGCGTAAATGACGTCAACGTCAAGTTTTCTGGCCTTCACTTATGCAACCGTGGTGCACAGCTGGTGAAAGTATACTTGCCTACATAGAGATATAGCGAAACATACAGGGTGGTACAAAAAGCAATATTAACATCACTTTAGATGTTAGATTCTAGATTTAGAGCATTGGCGAATTTAGTGGGGGGCGCGCGCCCCCCTAGATGTCTGACATTTGCTTTTGCAATTTAACACCATTGTGTTATTTTCTGTCATATCATGGTGTCAGAGGCATACTAACTGTAAGCTAGGAACTGAGCATTATCACTTTTTGGTATCCTTTGTTATTCCAAATGATGTCCCTCTTTGACATCACTTGTTTACAGCACAACTCTTAAGATTTATACGTATATACGAGTATTGTGACTTGTGACAAATCTAAGTCTGGGTAATATATATTAGCTATACCGATTGCACTTACAAAGTGATTTATGTTCTGTTTGTTGCTCAATAGTAATTTGAAAAGTGTGTAAAGCTTGACTGATTTTGTTCGGGGTTGGTGTTGCAGCGTAGTACTATGTTAGATGAATGCCTAAATTGGAAATAGACATTTATGAGATTTGTTTAGCAGTGCGCCTGCGGCCTGTCTAGAAGCTGCGCCGAGCGATGCTCAAAATCAGTACCACACATCCCGCATCCCTTCTCGCGTATGTACACCCGTTAATGAATACCTCAGTACCGATTGCCGGGTGGCGGTACAAGTCTGCCAACGGACCACTTTAGGTCTATTTAATATCATTAACACGCAAAAAGAAGGTGGTAGACTAAGACCAGTCGACCGAGGCGGTACCACCATATAGCTTTTCCCAGGGTGTCTTATAAATGTCCGCGTGTTTCCACACCTAAGCTATGCAGTCGGTTATCTTGCAAAACAAAGAAATTAATGATGATGGATCCCTCGAGTACTAAGAATTCCGGATGTAAGCTCACTCCACTCTGAGAATGTCCGGGTGGAGGGTGGACTCGAGGGAACAACATCGAAAATAAAATTTGTTTCACGAACATCTGCGGGATTAACAGCAACATTGATGCTGTTCATCACTACTTGGAACCCAATCTCGAGTCCGCACCGATTAACCATCTTAGCTTACCAAATTACGAGGTGCACTCCCATCTGAGAAAGAACGGGGGAGTTGTGTCCTTTGTACGCACCAGTATTTCCTGCTGCAGAGATGTTTTTCTGGAATCAGGCCGGAAGGACATTCTCTGGCTTCGCCTCAACTCCAAAACATCCCCCAAATTTACTGGGATGACCTTGAATACCTCGCCATCAAGATCGATTTCCTGAATGTCAATCACTTCGCTTCAGAGGTATTTCTCCTCGGTGATTTGCAATGACCATAATTTGCTTTGGTTGGGCTCAAACAAGACCGATGCAGCAGGTCGTGCAGTTAAAGCATTCGCTCTTACTCGAGGGCTGACCCAGCTGATGACGGGCCCTACTTTTTTTGCCCCGCGTCTCGTCACATGCCAGTATCCTGCTGGATCTCTTTCTGACCACGCATCCTGTCCCTTACAGCTCTGCTGTCCTGTCTCCACTGGGTAACTCAGACCCCTGTGTTGTGGATGATAGGTTTCGGTCAGAACCCGCTGTATTAGCAGAAACTCGCACAGTCCGCAAAATTTGGCATTACGGACATGCCGACTGGGAAGGGCTCAGAGACCTCTTCACCTCTTCTCTACCTTTCCTTGGAGAAATGTCTTTTTCACTGACGCGGATGCGTCGGCTGTCTGTTCTTCGATAACCGAAATTATCCACGTCGGAATAGAGGAATACAGGCATCATACTGCTGATATAATAAAAGTGCTTGATTGTGTCAGTATTTACAGCATTTTCTTGATTTGTTTAATGGCAGTTCAGAGTCTTAATCCTTAAGCTTATTACATACTAGTAGACCCCGTCGCCCAATTTGTCTATAGGCAGTCTGCAGACGGTCTCAAGACACGATCTATAGATGGTCTACAGACATCCTTCTTTCTCTTGTCTAGCGTCATACGATAATGTGAATTTTTTGGTCTCATGTTCGTTTTCGCAGTCAAAGACATTGTTTTGTGTGGAATGGACTGGGATATTTAATATTATTACACTTATTTTGTTCTCCTATGATAAAATATTGGCTTTCTGAGGAATTTCCATGTTGTTTTAAGCTGGCCTTGACCAGATAGAGCACAACGGATTTAAGGAGCAATAGTAGGATAAATTCTAGAAGTTTCACTGAGGTTAAAAAATGACCAGCCCCAAATATCGTTTGCGCCCCGCCTAGACGAAATACCGAATCCGCCCTTGTTCTAGAGATACGCGACGTGCACATATGAGTATATGGATTGATTTCTTTTAGATTCTCAATAAGGTGTGCTAGCAAACTAGTTGTCCAGAATGACTTTTTGCATTTTTATTTTAGTAGGCGAGCATTAAGCGGGTAATTTTACAACCTGATTCTGCAGGTTGGCAGATATGTAGCGGACTAGTTTGTATCTTGAATATTTTTTAAATGAAATAAAATACGTCAATTCTTCTCGTCTTAATATTTCATTGAAACTTAGAAATTATGTATGAAAAATAATATCAGACAAAGGTTCGCCTCTAGAAGCCACGCAAACCTGAACCCTATTGATTACATTTTCCATCACTTTTTGGTAGGTTTCGGGGGGAATATTTTTAATCGTTTCCGTGATATTATTCTTCAGCTGCTCTACAGTATTTGGTTTGTTGACATAAACCCTATTTTTCAAAAATCCGTATAAAAAAGTCAGGAGACGTTAAATCCGGTGACCTTGGTGGTCAGTTGACATCACCAAATCGAGAAATTAAACGTCCCGGAAATATTGATCGCAAAAGATTCATTGTTTCCCTAGCTGTGTAACAAGTTGCTCTGGCCTGCTGGACATGTTTTGCAGGATGCACTTGCTAGTGACAGTAAGAGAGTTATCTGCAGCATCTTTAAAGAAGTAAGGTCCAATGACAGCTCCATACCAAACACCGCACCAAACTGTAACACGAAGGTTCTTCAATGCCCAGATACGACAATTCTGCTTATTAACAAATCTGGTCATATCCAAGTTGTCGGTAAAAATCGTTATTTTGGGTATTAAGCTGAAATATTGCAATGACTGTATTGTCGACGACTTTCATGTTCACTAGGCTGTAGTTCTTGCCAGACTGCATTTTGTATGGCCTCAAATGCAAGTCTTTTTTAAAATAGTGCATAATGGTTTGCGACGAATACCCAGCTCTTGAGAACGATGTCTGGTAGACGTCTTAGGGCGCTCCACTACACTTTCACGAACTCTCTCGATATTTTCCCGAGTACGAACAGTTCGAACATTGCCCGACCTTGGCAAGTCTTTAACTTCACCAGTATGTTCAAATTTCTGCACCACTTGACGAATCGTGTTGACAGTGGCCACATTATTTCGACCGAAATCTTGTCGTAGCTTTCGAACCGTTGCAACAATCGATTCATTATTTAAGTAAAACGGTTTAACAATACGGACGCGTTGTGGAATCATGTAACGCTCCATGATGAATTGGACACACGTGTGCTTTAAACTACTACGGCGCCACGTACTTAAATGCGTGTATCCAAAATAGCGCACAATTTGGATCAATCAGTTATATATTGACCACCCTGTATAATTAGTGTACATTTACAAAAGCTGTAGCATAAAGGTAATAAATATTTCAATGCGGGCAATATGTCATTGGTATGATGATTATGAATTACCATTTTTTCGCTTTTTTTTTGGTGTCTGAAGCAGTACACAATAAAAGCCAAGTACAGTTAAAAAAATCATTTTATTATTGCAAAAAGGCATTTACACCAACTCAGTCAAATATTATATCCAAAAAATATACTAGAAGGTATGTATAAAAAAGGTTACGTGAGTTTTAGGGGAATCCAAAAGTCAACTATTTATTGTCCAAAGATTTATTATCCAAAGGCTTATGTTAATTAATTTATATTATTAAGAAAAGGTTTCCCTAAAATTCACCCTTGGTTATATAGGGTATGCCAAGAAAGGTTCATTTTGATCCTGAGACAGAAAAATCTGTAACTTGCTGATTCTCAAAAATAAGTGAGATACAAACAATTTATTGTGACCAATATCAATCAGTTAATTCTAAGTGGTGAATGGGCAAAAGAATTGATACAAACAGCAACAGGTTCTTCTGTCAACACTCAACCAAAAACCTTTTAACTTCTTGGACTGAGATTTATAATATTATTTATGGGATTGCATGATGCACTTAACAGGCTTGTATGTTTGTGTTTTAATTTATCCACAGCTCTTGGAATTGCTCCACCTTCGACCCTCCTTGAATGTTTGAGGTCACATCAAGATATTACTGGAGTATTGGTTTCCAAACCATGATTCAGTGTAATCAAAATATGAGGAAATAAATACATTAAATCAACAGATCAGTATAAGGCATTATACTTAATAATATCACAATAAAAACTATGAGGTAATATATAAAAAAAACTTTTATACTCCTAACACTCGCGAGTTCAGAAAAATATAAATTAATAAATAACAAACAAAAAGGAACCTAACACACTGAGCTTTTCATGAATTTCATAATACATATATATATATATTTGTGCATTAAGTACATCCTTCATAAATTATACATAATACTATGAATAAAAACGCTTTTAAAAATAATCAATTTGAGAACTCCTCAAGCTAAACATACTGTTCGTTTTACGTATATTAACGGCAAGACAGCCAAACCTACTTTCTACTTTAACTTAGACCTAGAAATTATAATAATCAGCTGAACAACTTTGAGTCATAAAATAACATTAACGTCACAAGCACGTGACTTGAAATGTGGCAACGAAATGCTGTATAATTAGGGTGACCATATGTACTTTCTTTTCGAACTCGGTACTACTGTACTTTAAAAGTTTATCAAGTACACCTAAATGTTCTTTATTTAATAAAAAAAAATTATGACCTTTTTGTTTGAAGAAACTAGATAATTATAACTGTTTTTGTGTTGTTGGTGTATTGCGTATTTGGATTTCAACCCACTGTACCGTCACTGATCGCCTTGTTGAAGACGGCAGTGTAAAGTATCGGGATGTCTTCGTGTCACACATGTCAAGCAATTCTATTTGAATTTTTTAACTTACTTGAAAAATCGGAGTGAAAATTTAAGTGAACTAAAGCTTTTGGGAGGATATTTTATCTTCGTGTGAGGCTTTTAAGGTCTACATAGATCCGGTATGGAATCAAGACGAAGGATGAAGTTAGTCTAATACAAACGAACGTTACAGAAAACAAAATTGCTGACTGGAATTTAAGAAATATTTCTACTGAAGATCGATGGCTCGAAGTTTTCCAAACAGAAAATACATTGAAAAATGTACAATTGTTTGGTGAGTTTGTTTTTTGTCTGCCTGCGACCAGTGCGTCAATTGAGAGGTTCCCAAAAGTACGACTGGTACAAGATAAAGATCCAAATGGTCAAGCTAGCACCTCAACGGAAAATTAACCTTTAAATATTTACGTACATATTTTTTTTTAATCTGTTGCTATATTGCTGATGCATCTGTATAATAATAAAACATAAATACCTTTATTTTGTTTGATTAAAAAATGTGTTAGATTTAGACAGGTAAAATTGCTCTAAGTATCAGTTAAAAGTGTACTTTTTTTTAAATTATGGTCACCCTATTTATAATAAATAAATACATGCATATTTGAACACACAATGCCTTCTTAAGACAACTAGGCGTTTGCGACTACTACTACTACAACTCAATTAGTTGTATGTTGGAATTCTAAAAGGTAAAACAAATAACATCATTTGGTATTTTATCCGGCATGATTGATAGACTGTTTATATATTCTTTCGATTCTTCATGTTTTCAGACAAATTTGGATAGTTTAAAACATGAGATGATCAACATTTTAGCTGATGTCTTCATCATAAATGAGTAAAGACATGAAACTAAACATGATTCATGATATGAGTGCAGCACTCAAAATAGAAAATTTACAATCAGTGCATCTGTATCTAATTTGAAGAGAGATTGTTTTTACACTGATAACACAGCAACAAATTCTTAAAATATTAGGGAAACACACCAGCTTTATTCAATAATTTTCTACAGCAAGAATAATAGGCTCTATATATGCGTTGATGGAACAGGAGAAACACTTTTTTAATTGGTCCATTCATTGAATGCAATTGAATATTTGCTTATAGGATATTCCGGCCAGTGAATCTCTCGAATTTAATGCTATTAGTCTTTATAAGGTGTTTACACGCCAGCGTCGAGCCAATATTGTCATTACTCGATGCTAATTTTCGAGACTCGTTATTACAATAACAATAACAATTAAATTACAGTAATGGTTCTCATTTTATTTTTAAAGAAGCTACTCAAATTTTGTTAATTTATACCTTGTAATATTATTTCATCCAACAATATCAGAAACTCATTATCTTCTCCATCAACCCACAGAGGCGCAACATACGTCTACAACATTAAAACTAATAATCAGGTATTGCTATCTATTAGGTACTGCAATATGTTTTAGAAACTAGTGGTGATTATTGCTCATAAATTATAACAGCGAATTTATTACGATCAATAAAATAGTCCTACTTCATGACGTCACAGAACAGTATTACAAACGTCAACAGGCGTAACATTGATTCGCATATATGGTGCCCAAACAATCATGGAAAACGGAGAAATTCTAAAATGGACCCTCGTTATAACACAGGGTGATTCCAAACTGAATATCAATATTTATGGGGGCGATTTTTGGGTCCATTTCAAAAAGAAAACTTCATACTGTCTGTCTTAGACTTTTGAGAGACAGGGTGATAACATTTTCAATATAGAAAGTCAGCGCACGCGACGAATTTAAAATAAGAAAAAATCAGAATCTGAATTGATTTATGAACAGATTTGATCATTTGAATCTCTTTAACCCGGCGCACTGTTTTCACCTAAAAAAATAAAAGCTATTTCTCTGCATGATATTGCCATATAAATGATATTATTATGATCATACAGAGAAAGGCTTTTTGTTTAGAAATGACCGTAGATTTCAAAAATATTTTTTATTTTAAGAGAAATTAGTGGCGTACCATCAATCTCTGCAGAGATAGGCAGGTGAAATTCTGTACGAACCCACTGCTGAATATTAAAAAATGGATTGCATTGCATACATAGTCCATGCATACAAAATTTTGTTGAAATATTTACGGTAGTATTTACAGATATTTATAAATCAATAATTTATTTTTATGAACTTTATCACGCTGTATCTCAAAAGTTAGGACGTTTTGGTCATTCGTTCCTACAGGGTGCCCCAGAAATAATACGCCAGAGTGACACGAGAGGTTGGCTTCAGATCAATCAGATAAGATCAACATACCCTAGTAAGTTTTTTAGTTTTCGAGATATGGGCACTTTTGAGTTTTTTCAAAAAATCACTACTTTTTGCTCCTTTCTTGCCTGTTATGGCTATAAAGAACTTCTAACTTATGATTTTTTTCCTGGTTTACTATTAATAGTTGGTTGAGACAACAGAAGATTCATTTCATTGAAAGCTAGCACAGTATGCTAAAAAAATATTACATTTTGTTTCAATGTGAAAACCTTCTCTAAAGTTTGACTAATCACTGTGAAAAAAAATGTATTAGACTGAATCGGAAAATGATCTTCAAAAGTAGCCTATTTAATGCTCTTCTAAAAATATTATCTTTTATATGTAGTATTTTGCAAGTAGCACGACCTCAATGACAATTCAGTTTGTAGTAAAAAGAACCTCCAAACAATGTTATACTATTTTTGAAAGAACATTTAATAGCTATATTTTAAGGTCATTTGCTAATTCAGTCTGGTACATGTTTTTTCACAGTAATTAGTCAAACTTTACTAAAGGTTTTTGCATTGGAACCCAATGTAATAATTTGTTTTTTTTTGCATACCGTGCTAGTTTTCAATGAAATTAATATTGTCTCAACTATTAATGGTAGCACAGGAAAAAGGAATTATAAGTTAGAAGTTCTTTATAGCCATAACAGGCAAAAAATGAGCAAAGAGATTTTTTCAAAAAAGTTAAAAGTGGCAATATCTCGAAAACTAGAAAGCTTTTATTAAGGCCATGTTGATTTTGTCTGATTGATCTGCAGCCAACCATCTCCCCTGTCACCCTGGCGTGTTATTTCTGGGATACCCTGTATAAAGCTTTCTTCTTAAAATGAACTCAAACATCGCCCACTTAAATATTGTTATTCAACCATAAAACCCTGTACGTACACCAAAAATATGTATACGGACATAGGGGGAAACATCTCATAATGGCAATAATTTTTCTATAATTATTTTCCATACATATTTTTTCAGCATCAATGTTTCAGCTTCGCTAGGTATGAAACATTCTCACATATGAAGGTAAAACATTTATTAAATGTAATTTCCAATAGGATGATGATAAAATGTATTTTCATTCCCAATGGAAAAACGATATCTGTAATTTCTAGTTTGCTGTTGTTTAATTATCTCAACATTTTGGCACTGTTACTCAAGTCGAAAAAATAGTCCATATATGCATAACAAGTAGGTAATACTCTCGCAGTTTGGATTTTGAAACAAATCTAGTTAGTATAAAATAGTAACTTATTTGCTCATAAGGTCATTTTAAATATGCTATCAACATTACCAAATTTTCTATTATCAATAAAACAATTTTTTCTTATGTAACACATTTTCAAGATATGATCATACATATTGCCTACACTTCAAAATGCCTCAAAGATGTGATCTGATGCTTTTGTCTCTAAATCTGCCTCATCACATAGACAGTTTTATATTACTACCACGGGAATATAGTGGATGATTTCTTCATACGTTTACAGATTTTCATAATATAACAAAATATTAAGCATTTATTTACCACAACTATATTATTTTTTAAATCAGGCCGATTTTTATACTTTGATAATAACAAAATAATTATAGAGCTTGTAAATAACTTAAAGCTTCAAGTACATCATATGACAGCAATCAGCTAGAACAAATGACTATTTTAAATATTGCCTGAAAAACGGTTAATAAAAATTCATTTTTTATTTATTTTAAATGCTTCCTAAGTGTCTTTCTTTTCTAATGATTTCACAATGGATACGCTTAAAATATAATTTTCTATCCTGCGTTAAAGAACACATTTTATATAAATTTGAATAAAATCTGACTAGCCACTATGTAACTAGCTACGCTTTCAGGTTATATATTTTTATGGAAAATGTTCTTCATAAAGGTATACTGTATATGTATAGTACGCTATATATTAGGATTTTTTAACTATGTCAAATAGGAAAATACAGGTTGGCTTTAAAGCTAGATGTTAGTAAACTAGTCTCAACAACCCTGAAGTAATGGTTAGTACGATTTTTGGGGTTTGTTTCGAAATTATAATAGAATACAGGGTGGTTCAAGAATTCCAGCATTAGTAAATCTCATTTAATGTATACCATAAAAAAAGGTTAATGGATGAAAGGCAAAAATCAAGTAGAGAAGCCTTGAGTTGAAATCAAAATGTAGTTTCGACAATTAAGTTCTGACATTAAACCTCATAGTTCAGTAATTAGGGGATTGACCACTATTGAAAAATGGCTACTATTTAAAAAGTAGCGTATACAAATCAGCTCAACAAAATGTTGAGATAATATATCACAAAATGTTCAGTGGGGCGATTAAAAAATTAATATAAAAAAATACAAAGAAATGTGTCTGTCTTGAACCACCATGTATCTGCGATAATACTTTTTAAATAGCATGTCCTCGATTGCCATTAAGGTTCAGTAATTCTGATTGGTCCACTCTTGTAGAGTTTGAATGATTGTTTTTGAATAACGTCGAGAAAAATCGTGCCTGGAAAGAAATGTTTTATTATAAAAAGGAATGAGAAAAATCAAAAATTTAATCCAGGAATAAATCCTGTTGAAACTGTATTTTAATCATCTACAGGGCAATAGTTTGCGCACACTGTTTGTAGACATAACAAAAACTACTCGTTCCGTTAAAAGTTTTATTAAAATAAAAATAAATTATATTTTTCCAAGAATCACAACAGAACAGAATTTCGAATTTTGTAATGTTACTAATTATCGCTCTAACAAAATAGTGAACAAGTCAAAAACAAAACGCAATAAAAGTTCTGAAACTAAATCATAGTATCATTAAAAGTACTGTATGTGGTACCAGAAATATCACTTTCCTTTAGTGGGTTTTTAACATTATAACTACCCCTCTCAAGTGGATCTGACGTTTTTCTCAACAAAGCTCCCTATAAAAATATAGTACTTTAGTGGTTGCTATTTTTTGTCTTTTCACATCTACCGTCACCAAAAACATATACCAGTCAACATAAAACGCAAAAAGGATATAAATACTTTTGTTATCTTACTGAAAAATTGCATCCTCTTTATTTTTGTAGCAATATTCTCACAATCGCTAGGCGACCATAATGAGCATTTGTTCACTAAGTTTGTATAATTTTTTCAGCCTGTAAGTGAATGAATGAAGAAATAAAAACTAGTGACAGTATCTCCAAGTAAAGCAAATAACACAAAACGTTTACATGGACCAATGATAAACAGTTACCAATAGTAAACCTTTAATCTTCGAACTTATAAAAATGCCGACATTTTTTCCTAAAATGCTGATCCTTTTTTTTGTTTAGGTGCCATAATGGAAGAGGTCCCGCACTTTTTTATTGGTTTCGACAGGGTAGTGCTGTTGTACTTTGGAGCACGTACACGATAGGTTGCCAAAAAATTGTTTATCATGTCATCGCGTAATTCTGTTTATAGAGGGTGTCATGGCATTACTATTTCTATAGCGTAGACAATAGATGATGAATATCAGTCGCTCAAAAATATTGCAACTTGAAAAATAGTATTTAGCCTCTACGTCACTGATTGGCGCTTCTCCACCTGTCGTTTAGCTTACGTAGCGTAATCTCAGTGAACCACTGTGCCGATTTTGTCAAAATTTAGAATATAGTGTATGCGCACAAATTTGAAAATGGGTGTAAGGTAAAGAGCGCTGAAAAAATTAAAAGAACACATCTTGTTTTTTAATGCTGTTCATATTTTCAAGGCTTGTTGTATGAAATTGTAAAACATTAACGCTTGCAGAAACCTATGCAATCGTGCATCTCCATAGAGTCAATATACATACATTTATATTCACTGGGAATTATTTGTTAACCTTGGCATAATAGTGACCTTGTATTAAATTTCATTAAAACCTCGATCACGGTTACGGAGTAAAAGATTCGACAACAAAGATTTTTCTATTGCTCATGATTTTCAAGAAATCTCATCGAATCTCCATACTTTTTGGACCCTGTATAGCACAAAACAGCGGGGACATGTATAATCATATGGTATAAGTCAAAAAGATTGTTAATTTCTGCTATTAGTAGTAAAACTGAACAAAAAATTTGTCATATCTCTGTTTGACACGTTACACTCATGAATAATAGGTAAATTTTGGGTGAATATCCTTCGTCAGTTATACTTCGACCAGAGCTGCTCTTTGGAAAAACGGTTTCCAAAGGTGTTCGAGTAACAAGACATCATTAGTAGAGCAACGTCTCTGCTTTGTTTTACATCCAACCACTCTACACCACGTTGTCATCATGGAACGCCCCGTATAATACATACAACAGCCACGCAAACCCACTTCTAAATTGCTTCCGATCGAATAGCCGGCTAGGGTTTAGGCTACCTGTTTATTTGTTAGTTTATAGTCCGGGAAATATCTGCAAAGAAAAATATTGATTCTGTTTTTTCGCTTAACCTTATTAAAAAAGAGAAATTTTTTTCTTGGCTATGGATGTTGTGTTTGTCCGTAGGTGGCATACGGTCTCTGACTTTCGTACGCGGAGGTACCACCAGGCGGATCTCGTAGGCGGGGCCAGAATGTGTGCATGTTCCATGCACATGTGTTCCCTCGATAGAGTCCGTGTGGCGTCCCCCCCTTTCCCCTATCCCCCTATAGCCCCACGGTACCCCATGGGTGTTTAGTCCTTAGGCCTTCGTGGTAGCTGGAGTATAAGCAAAAATCTGCATGTTGTAGTCAGAACATTTTCCAAGCAGATGTAAAGATCCTTGCTCGACTATTACCGCAGGTAAAGAATCCACCCAGGTATTGCCTCGGCCACCGCGGCAAAATCTGTTTTTTCGACGAAGTGGCTCTTCTACTGGAAACTCTGTATTCTTTGATATGGACGTAAAACTTAATAATGTATCTTTGGCGAGAAAGAGGTGTACGTTTCGACAAACATTTTTTTATGTATTTTCTTTCCTAGAAATATTGTCACTATTTTTAAACATCCAACACCCAAATCAAAAAATGTACCCTTAGGTGTAAATCGCAAAGGAGGAAGTCTCGTTACAACAAAGAAAAAACAATTTTTCATGCTTCGATGATAAGCCACTGCCAATAAAAACGAGATATATAGAACATTATAGATCACCAAAACATGATTCTCAGCAACGAAAACAGCAAATTGCACCAATTATTATCAGTAAAGCATTCAAAACAAAGTCAACAAAACAAGTGTTGTAACTGGTCATGCGATGTATATGACTATTGTTATGCCTTACATTATGGTATAACCATTCATAGTAAATTATTGATTTAATTGTACAACCGCGTAACACTTATTACATTGTTTTGATTGAAGGTGAGCTTATATTATGGAATCCAACTAAACACACCTGTCATATTACGAAAGCAAGTAGCTGATAAGAATGTAGACTAACCAAGATAAAAGATTTATATACTCACGGTGACACAAGCTACTAGGGCCCCCAGGAGTAAACCACACAGCACGTCACTCCAGTGGTGTTTATAATCAGATACACGTGTCATCGCAGTGAAGACCGCTGACAGCACGCCCAAAAACTGAAGAGTGTGTTTAAGCAAGGTGGATCCGTTCCACGTCATGCGCTTTTGTAAATATATCTGGAAACGGAGGAGAGATTTTAGGGTGTTTGTTTGCTTAATTCGAATACGATGTACACGCTTCACTACTTCCGCTTTTATAACAACTTGTTACAATTCTTCTGATATAAGGAATATCTTAAGTTTAGAGGCCAAATGCATAGTAGTTCCAATAGATAATTTTTAAGGTCATTTGCTGATTCAGTCTGTTACATTTCTTTACAGTAATTAAAACTTTGGTAAAGAGTTTCGCATTGAAACCAAATGTAATAATTTTTTTAGCATACTGTGCTAGTTTTCAATAAAATAAATACTCAGTTATCTCAACCAATTATTAATGGTAGCCCAGGAAAAAAATCATAAGTTATATGTTGTTGATTTTATCTGATTGATCTGAAGCCAATATACCTCCCGTATCACTCTGGCGTGTTTTTCTTCTATAGCTGTCACATTTAAAAAATTACTGGATTTTTTCTTACGCCCTCTGTCATTAATCTTCACAAACAAGAGTCCACTAGACAATATTCGTGACAACAAGAGAGTGTGAGTAGGCTAATTATAAAAGTGGCATACATTTCGGATAATAAGTGAATTTTATGACTGCTAAATTCTCACTCCATCTATATGTGTATGAGTTGTAGATGCATATATCTACCAAAAATACATGAACAGCGACCATTCATATCATAGTGAAAAATGAACTTTCATTGAAACGATTATATTTCTGTTTCACATGTTAATGAAAATGTCACTGATAGTTATACTAAATAAGCATATAAATAATAATAAGAGTATATTGCCGTTCTTTCTTTTCTAGGATAATATCAACATCCCAGTGCAACCGTCGAATAATAAACGTTAATAATAATAAAACGTATAATTTATTATTTTACAACGAATGTTATCTATTGTTAATGCAGCTTATATCTATTAACTAGAAATAATATTACTTACAGCAAAATACAGCATAGTATACATTGAGAACGAGGAATGTCCTGACGGGAATGATAACCTGGAAATCCAAAGTTACTGTCTTAAAGTACATCAGTCTTTTCTTGTTTTAATTTCAAAATGTAGCAGATTTTTTTTATGATAGGATATCAATTCGTAGAAGGAGCTAACTTGTCCTCGTGAGAGCAGGTTAAAGAGAGATATATTGGAGACGAACATCTCATGAACATGTATGCTACACCACATCTCCTCCCTCTTGACAACTTCCTAAATCCGCAACTGTGAGGGGAGGGAGGGCGTATATTTCATGCATACAAAGATACAACACTCTGAAGCAGGCCCTCCCCACATAAGTTCTTCTATAGAAGCAGGTAGCATGTTTACAGATTTCTGTGACAACAGCATTGACTCGAAAAAAAACAGTGACATCACAATCAATCCACCCAAGACTGCTGTTGGTTGCGGATTTCAGATACCGTATCTTTTTAATAGTGCGCCCCTCGCATATTTGGAATGAGTTTGATATTATATTATTGTTTTTTATATCTACTGACATGCTGCTTCAAATAATTGGAATTAACTTTCACAGTGATGGTGAAAATATTAATACCGCATCATAATCAGAAATCAATTTCAGAATGGGAAAAGCATACACTGGGATATAAATAATAATTATCAAATTAATTATCAAATCAAAACTTCAATTACGGGTAATATATTCATTCGACCGTAGAGTTGTAAATTAATTAGTATAATTCTTGAACAAATAGAAGCTGCATAATAAATGGCATATACAGTATACATATTTAATATGAAATGAACTATGTTATATTTAAATATAAGCAATGTAAAACAACTATATGATAATTGCGGGCCTTTTAAATTCAAGAATAATACTGTCAGTAATGGGCTCTTCCTTTCATGCTCGTTTTTTTTTCTAATTAAAAGAGCTGTTAGCAAATACAAAATGAATCCAACAGAAAATACGCTTCTGACTACCTGACGTTGACGGATGCGTCAAAAGTAAGTGTCCTGTGCCGATATGGGAAATTTTGAGATATTACTAGATAATCAGCTGTCATTCCACCGTGATGGATACTCATGAAATAGGGTATAGTAATTGATAACATACCTAACCTAAAAAATTTGACAACATATGACAGAATTCCTCCAACTGTGGCCTAACGCGGGGTTCTACAATACGTTCTTTGAATGAATTGCGATTTCGAACATCCCAAGATTGGTATCACTAATTTCTATCGATCTGTCGATGTTTTCTACAATGAGCCGATCCTGCGGATTGTATTAGATACATTTTTTGTTTCTACAATCTACAGTAATTAGTACGCAGTTACATCAATCATCATTTTTATGATGGTTTATCAGAGATTTGTCGCCATAATTCATTATCAAATCAGAAACACGCAGACAGGAAAATTGTTAATATATCATCTGTAATTTGCTCCTTGTTATTCAATATCATAATAAACTTTATTGCCGCCTCGGCGTGTTCAAATGGTCTTCTGCGGTTGTGTTATTCTATTGAAGGAGATATAATGTGCTATAGGTTGTGGAATGAAAAACAGCCCGGTCGGATTAAGATTCAATGCTTTCTGTGACCATTTATATCTATATGTACATATATGAATATAAGTTACAAGACATGAGGCTTGATTTACATTAAAAAAAGAAAATCTTAATTTTATAGGCAAAAAAATATTGCCGGCAGTTGGGGTATATGCCGCTCTTTGAAAATGTAAAGGTATACACCTATGCACATTTCAGTTTGACAATATATGAGTTCTTGCATAATGATAATGTGGAAAGATACTGATAAGGGTATTAATGGAAAAACTGCGAGACGATCATCGTAAGAAACTGTACACTTCTCTGATGAAACTGAATCAATTCGACTGGATTAATATTGTACTGCAAAACTGGGATCCATGAAGGCCAGATTATATCGTGATTATCGATACTTGAGTGAATATGATTATATTGGCTAAATCTGCAGAGTCATTTTGTCACAAACAGGCAATATATCTAGTATTTTACTTGAGATGCCACTATTTGGATATTTTTTTAGTGTTACCAATAAGAATACATGTACCAAATCATGGCAAAAATTCATATTGTATATTACTTGAAAAAGAATATATTTTATCAATAAACATTACACATAATACTTGAAATTTTTCACACGTAAGTTGTGAATGCTTTGGAATGAAAACAATATTATTTACGCATTTCTTGTTAGCAACTGATTTCACTTTTCCGATAACTATGCCAGCATCTAAAAAGAGACTCTTACTGTTTCCAATTCTACCGATCAATGATAGATCATCTTTGTCAGTCTTGGATAGTGTTAAGGTCTGCTGTCTGACCTAAGAGAGCCGTTTTGGATAAAAATCAATTCAATTTACAATAGCCACTTTTCATATCCAAATCTTTGCCCACATTCACTATAGCGACTTCCTCAAAACAACTCCAGAAACTGACGTGAATTTTAATGGTAGTGTCATTTTCATTATCTTTTCTTAGGAAGTTGATAACGCTGTAATGAGACGGGTACCTAACCTGCCATCCTTAAAGTAACTGTATTCGAATCCCATTTAATTCCTGCCAAAACTAATATCAGTTCCTATTCGCGCGCTTCCATTGGTCAGCGGCCATAAATCTCTGGTCAGGCAGCGACAGGCGAACAGAAGGGAAGAACAGGTGGACTTTTTTATGACGTGGAGTAAAAAAGCGTGGCAGGATATTGGGTATCCGGAAAAATCATTATTCCTGGGATCTTTGGTTTTTACCTTTCTTGACATTTCTTGGGCTTAGACGTTAGAAATTTTATGAAAAGTTTACATCTGAAAGAGAAACCGTCAAGTGTCTCCATTCGTACATCAAAAAAATATGGGCCTATTGAGTTTGCTACACTGACAACTTTAGATATAGTAGAATTAAGGATACAATGTTACATCAGTATCGCATGGGTTTTCGAAGCTATTACAAGTAGTTCTTTGACCACTGCATAGAGCTTTTGGGATTTCAGAAAAACAACAATTTTCAGCAAGAACGGTGGTGCAATTATTACCAGATAGAGCAAAACGTTTAAACTCACCGAAGTTCCTTCATAATCCTTTTATTGTCCTTAAACAACGCATTGGTACACGTAAAGTCCTCATGGTACACATAGTCGGGAAAAGACCCGTTCTGACAAACATCCGGTTTGCAAACCGTGATGAAATGAGGTCTCAACCTGCCTATGGTGTACTTCATAACGTCCGTTGTCAACTGAGAACAGGCTGCACCGAATGCGAAGATTCCTATTACACAATGTAGGTTGTAGATCCAGTTCGGCATCTTCACACCCAACATGTACACATCTCGCGTGTCGGTTGGTCTGTTGAGGTATTCCGTTAGCGACATCTGGAACAAGAAGTCTGATATAGATATAGTAGTCCTGGAGACAGATGCATGGAAAGCAAACAAGTAGGTATGGTCGTTTGAAAAACTTGAAAGCTTTGCAGAAGTAGGGGAAAATCTAACGATCTCTACCTACCAATGGTTCATCATATGGGATGAGAATGAACATCATCTTGGCAAACCTTTGGTAGGTGAAGATCGTCAGGTTTTTTGCCTACCTCCACACATTAAAAAGGGCTAGAAACTTAATGTAATCCACTTGACCACATCGTTGTCTGACTTACATGTCGTCATATCCTCAGCCACTACATAGAAGTCTATAGCAAAATGTACTTCGGTTAGTAGATACTTGAAGATCAGCATTCAACCGTATTTTCAACGTAATTTCAGTGTTATTAACATTGCTACTATTTCTGGGATACGCTTTGTACGCAGTCAAAAATTATAAATGGATGAATAAAAATTTTGAGTGGTAATAAATATTTGTGGTGTGCTGGATGTGAGTTGCATTGTAAATGGAATTATAATTTTGATTTTATCTCAGTCAGTTACAACAAATTTTAGAAGTTAGAGGGTCATTTTTTAGTAAAAACCATTTTGTCGTGGAGCAGAGAGACTTTATTTATAAATGCAAATTGTATCACAAACTAAAATATTTGTAAAAGTATTTTTTTAATATTTCAACAAAGTCACCATAAACATTCAAACATTTGCCATGGCACCAGCTTTTGTATCTTGCCATCAGAGAACGCTGTCTTTACTGTTTCTTTCAAAATGTCATGATTTTCTAAGCGCGTTCCACCAAGAAATTCCTCAAATTTTGGCAAAATATGAAAGTTTTATGGTAATAAGTCAGGGCTATATGGTGGATGGTCCAGTGATTCCTGAAAGAACTTGTCCAGTTGCGTTTGTGCTATTGCCGCAACTGAGTCCGAGCGTTGTCGTGAAGCAAAACGACGCAGCTAGATAGGAGGCCTTGCCAGTGGTTTTGAATAGCGCCTTTTCAAATTAGCGGGCTTACTGATTGATACGGCGACAAACAAAGCAGTATAACCATACAAGCAAAACCGACAGAAATAAAATACGTAATGGCGGCGTAGTGAGGGACTGGCCAGAGTGTCTGAGGTTGAACCGATGTCATGTGACATTATGCGCGGGTACGATGCGCAATCAGTTCTTACTGTAAAAATGGCTCATATATACGTAGTCATGCCATAAGTTCTGTCCCTCGTTTTCAAACAAGTGTAGACCTGTTAATACTTGTCCGATTGTTTACATTGTGGTGTCAGTTGAGTAAGCGCTTTTCGGGTAATTACATATACCTCAGTTTGTATTGATCTCTCGAAGCATAACGATGGAGTGGGGCAAGGCAGAGAACCGTATTGCAGTGATAGCTTTACATAAGTGTAATCACAGTGCTAGTCAGATTTTTGAACTCTTACGCGGCCTTCAAATATCGCGTAAATTTGTGTCTAGGACCATTCAGCGGTACAATGAGACGTCCTCTGTTGATGACAGGCCAAGAAGCGGAAGACCTCGTCAAGTAAGGACTCCAGCAGCCATCAAAGCCGTAAAAGCCAGGATTCAAAGGTATCCACTCCGGAAGCAGAAGATCCTATCCAGGGAAATGAAGATTCCTGTCCGGACGATGCCGCGCATCATTAAACAAGACCTAGGGCTAGGGGCTTACCGGAGACGTACGGGCCAGCGACTTACGGCCACCTTGCGACACATCAGGGCGACAAGATCCAAGAAGCTCTTGGAGAGGTACGCAGCTGGGGGATTCCGAAAGATTTTGTTCACGGATGAGAAAATCTTCACCATAGAAGAAAAATTCAACCGACAAAATGACAAAGTGTATGCAAGGAGTTCACAGGAAGCTTCGGAGATCATTCCGAGAGTTGAGAGAGGCCACCACCCTGCGTCAGTCATGGTTTGGTGGGGGGTGTCCTACGAAGGGGTCACTCAGCTCCATTTCTGTAAACAGGGCGTGAAAACAAAAGCGGCAAACTATCAGAGCGACATACTGGATCCTATCGTCAAGCCTTTAAGTGGTACATTGTTTGCCAACCAACACTGGGTCTACCAGCAGGATTCCGCCCCCGCTCACAAGGCTAAGAGTACGCAGCGCTGGCTGGAAAGCAATGTGCCAGAGTTCATTGCTGCGGAAGATTGGCCCTCAGGGAGTCCGGACCTCAATCCTTTAGACTACAAGTTGTGGGACCTGCTAGAGCAGTTGGCCTGCTCCAAAGCCCACCGTAATATCGAGTCCCTGAAAGCGGATTTGATCCGATCAGCGGCAGCTATTCCTTTGGAAGCTGTGCGTGCAGTGATAGATGAGTGGCCCGCGAGATTGAAGCAGTGTGTGAACGCCAAGGGGGACATTTTGAATAAAACTGTTTGATTATGAATTCTAAAAATGTTGTCGAATAAATAATATCTTTCATATAAATATATCTTATCTTGTTTCATTTTTATCATGAGATTATCATGGGACAGAACTTATGGCACGACTACGTATTATCAAAAGAGCTTGGACATTTTGATACCCAAACCAATAGATATAATTGATATACCATTAGAGATGTCTTGCCAAATGATGAAAGGTTTATAAAATATAAGGTGCAGATTCGTTGTCTGTTTTCAGATTGTCCACTGCAGAAGATATTGATTTTTTCGTGTTTTAAGCCGATATCGAGCATGTAGTAAAACAGCTGTTTAGAGAAATTGAGCATACAAAACATCAATAACGCATTTCGCTAAAGCATATTAGATGATAATATACCAGAGATTAATATTCCGGTTTTTTATCATAAACTTTCGGTTCAATTGTTTCTCACCCCCACCCCTTTCCAACATACAGTTGTTTCCAAAATAACTCAAATTATTCTCGAGGGTACTATTTTGAAAGAAGCCTTATATGCAGAAGCATCGTTTTCAAAATACAGTCTGTCCAAGATGATCGCAGAAATTGGTTTATATCAAATATCTTGAAAACTCCTTTGCCGATTTCAAAACGACAATAGCTCCATATAAGGAAACAAGTGATGTTAGTTAGATTTTTCCACAAGGCTTTCAAGATTTCCCTAGTACGCCTCTGGTAATTCATGAATTTCATTTGACATATTCATCTAAAAAAGGCTTTAGGCACTGCTCTTTTCACGTATCTACGTTTCTTTTCTACAAAAAAAAGAATTTTCCACTGGAAATCTGTTAGTTCAATTCAAAAAATGGAAACATACAGTATGCAAAATTTGCAAGAAACACAAAAAAAGTATTTTGTGTCGGTTGATGCAGCAACAGAATCCATGGGAGATAAGTGGAGTACTTAGAAAAATCCAAGAAATTGAAGTTACAGTTTAAAATTCACTCGGGCCTTCTGGACGAGACGTGACGTCATGGGTCACAGGTATCTATTCAAGTTCAAATAAATGCTAAAAATAACTTTTATGATTATACTTGGGTACTAAAATATAGCTTTGTATGGACAGTCGGTGCGCTCCGATACCGCGGTCTTCAAAGGCGCCGTGCTAGATGTGTTATGTCTTCTGGTACCAGACTATTGGTTAACAAATAGAAATAATAATAATGATATGAAATTATGTAGAAATAAGTGCCATATTTCTATGGTAGCGACATAAACGTCTTAAAAATGATTAGTTCTCCAGGTGACATTGTTCCAATCGGTCTACAAGTCGAAAAACCCTACATGAAATTATCTTTCAAATGATATATGATTATGTGCTGTTGGTTAAGCTACGAGAAACCATGTATTTATCGAATATTATTAAAAAAAAATGGAATACTGAATTACGTTTTAATTACTGTATACTAACAAACTGAAAGTAAATTATTTGCCTAATGAGGGATTACTAATACGTATTTACGAGTATAATACACAATTTAAGTAACAAGTAATAGTATAGTATCTTACTAGACAGAGTTTCATGGATTGACCACATAATATTGCAACGAGTTTTAAGTTAAGTATTATTTCAATCACTACAGTATCTATGAATTAGCAATCGTTAGATTTAAACAATTGTGAAGCACGAAAACTTTTGGAAACATCTATATTAGTTATTTCTTTATATACTTTGTTGGTCTAAAAACAACAAATACACTTTTTTAAAGAGCAGTAGTTAGTTACGCGACATCAATGACAAGAAACTAGATAAATATTTATTGTTAAGACCTCAACATAAAATCGTAACGTAGCCTTCCATATGACAATGTAATAATTGCTTTTTGTTCAAAACCAATCATTGTAAAATACTGCCTGCGTCTAGACAAACCATTTGGGGAGACATAACTACTGTTGCATGGACAAATACATTGAATACGCTAGCTTGCTGCAGACCAGGTGTTTCAATATTTTTGAATGAAATTCATACAGTATGTTGAGAAGATAATTGCCCATGGTGCTATAGGAGCACTTTTTGAAATTTTGTTTTTGCATAAGTTTTATGATGGCTTGACGTGCGCACTTTTTCTGTTCATCTTCGCGATTTTTTTAAAAAGAACCTAGTGAAAAAAATGAAAAAGTGGCTCTATAGCACCATGTGGGGTTTTGGTTTCAGCCCTATGTGAAAATCCCCCCCCCCCATATTTTTATCATCTGTATAGAAACATGCGGTTCTCGTTTTATATCAATTATAAGGCATCCCATAATAACAATTATCAATCAACTTCATTTTTTATCTCGTCAAAAAGTCACGATGATTATAATTAAGTAAATGATGCAATACATGTTAAGAAGATATACGGAAATACGTGGAAGCGTTATCAAATATTGACTAACAATGAACAGTTAACAACCTTTATCAATTCAGGAATAAAAAATAAATATGAACTTAACGACGATCTGTGTACGGGTGTAGACCAAAATTGCATGGTATACGAAATCTCCATAGTTTGTTTACAGGATGCAAACTCGATAGAGTAAACATATAAGTTGAGAATAAACATATAAGTTGGTCTATAGTTTTCTTCTGTATGTGGCA